GAATATAGGGTAATGCCTTTTGGCTTAACCAATGCACCGGCGTCGTTCCAGGTCATGGTCAATACCATATTCAAGGATCTTCTAGATCAAGGCGCAGTAGTCTACTTGGATGATATTCTAATATATTCAAAGACTAAGGAAGAGCATACGACTCCTGTGAGGAAGATATTGGAGCGACTGCAACAAAACCATCTATACGGGAACCTCGAGAAAACGGAATGGTACAAACAGGAGGTAGAATTCCTGGGATTTGTACTATCAGGGAAAGGGAACCAGGTCTCGCCTAAAAAGATGAAGGCAATCACGGAATGGTTACCACCCACCAAGGTCAAGGAACTACAATGTTTCCTCGGATTCGCCAACTTCCTACGACGGTTCATCCACAGGTACTCCGAAGTTTGCCGACCAATGACCGAGCTCTTGAAGAAAGGTTCCGTATGGCGATGGAGCAGTGAACAACAAAGCGCTTTCGACGAACTCAAGGAGAGGTTTACGTCTGCTTTAATACTACGACACTATGACGAACACCGTGAAGCGATCATAGAAACTGACACGAGTGACTGGGCTGAGGCCGCGGTACTCTCTCAGGTGTTCGAGGACGGTATTCTACACCCGGTAGCTTACCACTCTCGCAAGTTCAACGAGGCAGAGGTAAACTACGAGATCTATGACAAGGAGATGCTCGCTATAGTTTCTGCTCTCTTGACTTGGAGACATTGGCTGGAAGGAACGGATATTCCTATCCAGATACATTCGGATCATCAGAACCTACAGTATTTCACAACGACCAAGAAGTTGTCGAGAAGACAAGCCAGATGGGCCGAAAAGATAGCACCTTTTCGCTTCAGGATCCATTACCGCCCAGGCGAAAAGAACGGCAAGCCAGATGCACTCACAAGGCGCCCAGAGTTCGCTATGGAAGGGGGAGTAATGCGTGAACAACCCGTAAAACAGTTGCTCAGCGCAGAACAATTTGCCAGGAAATCACGGACCAGCGTAGAAACTGGCCCTGAAATCATTGGCAACCCCGAAGAAGGATGGACTCCGTTGGATCAGTGGTACGACATACCAGGTACTGAGCTGCCTCAGCCACTATAAGACTGGTATGAACAGGACAGACAATGGGTTCGGAGAGTGTTCCGGGATGAACCTCTCCCTGATGCAAACCTTGAAGTCTTCGGGACGGAGGAAGCTGATGCCGTAATAACGGAGCTTGCCACTGAATGGACCCCGGGATCGAATGAGGCCACCCACGATGGTCTTTGGGTAGTGCCGGGATATGCGGTCAGACAAGTCATTGAGGATCATCATGACAGACCCGTAGCGGGGCATCTAGGAAGGGATAAAACCCTCGAGTTGATCGATAGGAACTACTGGTGGCCAGGAATGTCCACGGATGTAGCCAACTTCGTCAAGACTTGGGATGTATGCCAGAGAGCCAAGCAACGTCGGAGACACTTGTCACTCCCTCAACCCCTAGAGTTAGCCACCACACCTTGGACTGATATCTCAATGGATTTCGTAGTAGAAATGCCAAAGGAGAAATCAGGGTTCCGTAACGTATTGGTAGTTGTGGACCGTTTTACGAAAATGGCTCACTTCATTCCAATGACGGGAATCAACGCGGAACAGACCGCTAACGCCTTTGTCAAGGACATTTGGCGCTTTCACGGACTTCCTAGGAGCATTGTCTCTGATAGGGGAACACAGTTCGTATCGGCATTCTGGGCTGCGGTCACAGAACGACTAGGGATTCGTAGAAGACTCTCGACCTCGTTCCACCCACAGACGGATGGACAAACAGAAAAGACCAACCAGCACCTCGAATCCTACATCCGGGCCTACACCGCCGGAACAGGAAAGAAATGGAAGGACCTACTACCGATTTGCGAGTATGAATATAATAATGCGAAACACTCGTCGACAGGACAATCGCCGTTCTACTGTAACTATGGTTTCCACCCACAAACAGATTGGCCAACGGATGCGAAAATCGGACAGCTGGATGCCAAGGGAAGCACCTACCTGGAAGACCTTCTCCTAGCCCATGAGTCAGCGAGAGATACGCTGCAGAAGACCTTTGACAGGATGGCGTCAAGGCCAGGGCCAGCAGTTCAGCGGTTCACGATCGGTCAAAAGGTTTTGCTGGATACTCGGAACCTCGGCGGTTACAATAAATGGTCGGATAAGTTTACAGGCCCTTTCGAGGTTGCCGCGGCTGTGGAAAATAGGGCTTATAGATTGAATCTTCCGGTAGAATGGAAGGTTCATGACGTATTCCACGAGATGTTGCTAAGACCTTATCGAGAGGATCCCAACCCGGGCAGGCAACAAAACACACGAAAACGACTCGCAACACCCGACCCTCAAGAGGCACTCTCAGATGAGAACTTCAAACCAACCAAGAATACTCGGCCCTATACACGGAGTCAAGGGCCAGTCATCGCCTCGAGTCGGCCTCCGAAACGACAACGGACTAGGGAAGACTAGCTCGATACCTTTCCTACTCTATGACTTTTCCCACAGGGTTTTTATCATAGAGAGGTTTTAACGGTCGAGGGCGACGTCTAGGAAGGGGGAGTAGTGTTACAGGAAAACACGAACACTGCTCCCAAGTTAAGGAACAAGGATAATACGAGTGATGGGTTGTGATGCGAGTATGGTCGGGTAACGAGGGAATAAGCATAGAAAGGTACCGAGGGATTGTGGGGGCACCGGGTGCAACCACACTAGTATTAGGCTGTTGTGAGGGCACGCTTACTATTGGGTGTCTCACCCGGAACGGAATAGAAGCGGGGCTTATGGCTGCAGGCCATTCTACTTAGGGAAGTAGCTCTAGGACAATAGCATGATACAGCTCGGTTACCGGCAATTGCGGGGTTTATGGTTACGTGTCAGAATTGGAATGGAGGAACGGAACTATGCGGGGGCGCTTTTCTACTGGGGTTATCTTCGGGTTGATTATCTTATTCTATTATCGTTATCTCTTTAGTATTAGAAAGCGGGCCTTGGCATAGGTTCCAATATGTATAAATAGGGAGGATTCTGCCTCGTCTTAGTGGCATCATCAGTCACTCAGCGAGCGGAATCCGGTTTACAATATTACAAGTTTAAAAGCTACAGAATTACCGCTTAGCATTGGCATTTCCCCAAACATTAGTATTCCGGAGGATACTCACGATGTTTTTGAGAACACTGGCGACATTCCTACGAGCCAATTGACTCAGACGTCTGTGGTCCCTAATTTCAGCAGTTCAAATGTGCTGTCAGTGCAGGTTCAGAGAATTGAGAAGCAGTATAGCGTGTTAATCGGGGAGAATACTCTTCTATATTAGCTCTTTCCACCTGCAGCAAGACTTCGGTACTGGTAGTGAGTATGTGGGTAACTGCAAGTCGCTGAGTAGGGTGTAGAGTAGCCCTTGATGAGGTCGTTATTAAATAGGTGAGTGGCCCCAAAGGGATTAAGAGTGCTCTGGAACTATAATTGAGAACAATAGGTCAGGAGTTTGCACTCCCATGTCCGTTCCCAATTGATGCACAAGGTGAAAGGGTACCTGTCAGATTCTAGACCTACTGACTATGCTTCTTGGCTCCGGAAATTATCGATACATTGTATTTTAAATACTTCGATGGGGTAAGAATGCGAGGGGTTACAGATCCCGAATTTCTAGAACGGATATCCCTACCCTTATTGGCCTGATACCGATGGTGATCTGGCATGGCATTCTGGTATAGTTAACAGGGAGTTATTTGAAGCCTGATAATTTTAAGTCGCAGAATGATCTGATGCCCTCATTGATAAGGCGAGTGCTTTGGAGGCAATGGCGGATGCTCCCAGGGCAATACAGGATTGCCGAGCTGACATTCAAACTCGAGTGGAAACGTTCAACAGGATGATCAACACTTGGAAGGGAAGAAGTAAACAGAACTAGGAGCCAACCTTGAAGGTAATCAAAGATGCACTTTGAGAAAAGGTATGATACTTCTAGCTGCCAGTAATACGAGTGGTATTCTAAATACTAACCCTAACATAAACGAGATTAAAAGGGGGTAACTATTGAGGTGATACCGGAGGAGGGTTTAGCGACTACGATGAAGCGCTGGCTGCGGATCTCGATGTATCCCGAGATTCTCAGAGTACACTAACGAGTACTCCAGGAGGTCATGTTGGTTCCGACAACACCCAGGACGAAGTGATTAATGCCCAACGTCGCGGCATTGATACTGAAGAGGAGGGGGAGGAGGAAGAAAAGGAGATGAAATTACCTGTAATGGGAGAATAAGAGAGGGGGGGTGGGGCAGGATTTGTAGAACAATCGCGAGTTCTGAGGAAAATAGTGAGGGATTTGTTCTTTTCCGTATATTGTATTAGGTTAGTTAGGGTGTTGAATAGCGTATTGTTTTAGTATTAGGCGGAGAATCACGGTGTTGAATACATCAATTCTAAAAGTGCAGTCGCGAGTGCTCTAGAGGCAGTAGAGATCGTCGTGCGAGTGATGTTTTGGTCATCTTATGGGGGAATTGTGAATACAAGAGGCCAGTATGGTGGCAAGGTGTATTCCTGGAGAGAATGAGGCACCGAAATGTAGGAATCGGTACATCGGGTGTGACCCAGGTTTCAAAGGACCTGATCCGGCAAAGTCAGGAGGGGTCAGGGCAATTATTCTATCTGAGGGCCTACTGGCGGAGTCAGGAGTGCTCCAGGAGCAGTCAGGATACACAAGTGAGCAACTGGCATTCTCTGGGGACCTGACTGATGTCCAGGTTGTGCTCGACGCTAGTATTAGGTGTCGGGGCATGTTGGGCATACTAGTGTGCACTGGGGCGGACTAGCGTGCGATGGGGCAGACAATTGTACACCAGAACTCAACAGGAGTGCTTGCCGTATCTATAGAGAGGTAGTTTACCTACCGAGCACCCTGGGCACCCTGAGCGCCTTGGGCATCTGGCGAAGGCTGCAGGTTTGCTGATGTTATTCGTAGTTCATCTTTCTACCGTTGATGTTTATCGCGGTGAGTGTCAATACAATAGTGGTTTCATAGGCTTTTCTGACAAGCGATAGGGACTCTTTGTGATAAATGTAAACGCCTTTAGCGATAACCCACCATGGCAATGGTATCCGATTATTGCGGGCGCTTTCTCAGCTCTTGTCATCATTACTTCGATATTATTCATATTCCTTCCAGTATGGCATCACTACATAAGGGGATTAGCGGGATAGTTTGGATGAAGAACTGTCATCATCCAGTTTGTGAAACTGATGAAGAAGATTGACAAAAGCCTAGCTTCAACATTCTTGAACGATATCTCAGAACCTCCAGCCACCGGTAATACGCAAGCTGATGCGCAGGTCCCTATGGAACGGAAGCCATCTGACGAGGCGGATAAGGGAACATCGGTCTATGTGAGACTCCGGGAAATAAGGCAGAATCACGAAAACGATCCGGAGAGTATTGTACATTCTACTAGAGGGAAAGGAGCTTAGATTCATATGCTGATGCGGCGATATAACTGCCATTCGATTCATCGCAGGTAATGGTTGGGAGGGGGGGAGGCGATATATGAGGCGTAGTCAGAGACTCGAAAACTTTGGATGAGGAACTCGTAAGGTGGAAGGAGGAAATTGATAGGTGGGGATGGGGATACGGTGAGCAATTGATCCAATTTCGCTCATTGGTAGAGCGATATATTTGGACGTGTTTGTGTCGTATATAGACAATTTATGAATATTTCGAGGGCGAAGGTTTGGAAAAAATGAAGATGAAAGCTACAATATTAATGCGTTTATGTGCTGATTGTGCCTAATTTCCTATTCGGTCTTTCTCAACGTCCGTATCAGGACTGTTGATCTTGATGCTGTAAGACTTTTGGATATGCATAGTTGCAAAACCTTTAATTAGTATTTAAATTCGGGAAAGAAAAATTGCTAAACGTGAGGTTAACTAGAACTAGAAGAACGTGGAGACTTCTCTACTAGTGATAGGGACAAGGTGAGGCAACTCGAGACTTCGTGTTGAGATCAAATCTCGAGACTTAATCTCGAGATGAAGCAATAATTGCAAAGGCAGCGGCGAGACAAGACCGGAAAGACTTCCACTTAGTCTAAAGAGCTCTCACAAGACACAAACTGAGTTTTACCTCGGAGCTTTCATTAAAATAGCTTGAAAGCTCAGCTAATTGATCAAGTTAAAAGAAAAGTCAGAATTAGTTTCAGATAACCCTAACCCTGACGACTTATTATTATGAGCTCGTGTACTGACCTTTTCCGTACAAATTCTCAGGACTCCGTGAGACCACCAGACCACAAGCAAGATCAGACATCCCCCCAAGAGTGGCAGTATCTGGCCATCACAATCCCAATCTGAACGAGGCTACCATCAATTCAGTCATGTCTCGTGCCCGTCACTATCCTGTATCCGCTGTTTGCGCGACTAAATTATAAAACCACAGTGTATACTACTATCGGTATGGCTATTGAGTGGGCATACGTTTGTCCCTTCATTTATGTACCAAGAGTGACGAGTCTAAGAGTGTTATGAGACAAGTTAATGTGTTTTCTGTAGGGGATGGAGTAAAATAATTTGCAAAGGTTTTTATTTGGCCGTTGACGGGAGAGTTTGATTGAAGGTGTCGATGCTCTCTGGCCCCGCTGTCCGCCTTTCTGGTCTGGAAACTGTACATAAGGCTCTACCAATGTTATCGCGATCCCAACTAATACCGCACGATACTAGCATCAGTACCCCTACCATAACCAATCAACTTTCCCTGCACCTATGTGATTATGAAATATCACTCGTACCAACTCACCGCCCATCATCGATTATCACTCGGTAAAACCTCCCTATATATGAACCGCTTTCGTAACCATGGGGCGACCCAGAAGCACAACTCCACTATTCACAACATACAAAGCTGCAGAGTCGACAGTTTTGCTAGAGATAGCTCGACCCCGAAACTTCACTATTGACACTTCAACCTACCTGAGGCGGACCCTCGACCTTGACTTTTACCGGTGAGATTTTACCAAGATTCTACTTTGCTGTTTTTTTTTGTTTTATTTTATTTTCATTTTCATTCTAGTTTTGGTATTTCAGATGTTACCATAGCCGCAAGGCTGTATGCAATTGATGAATTAAACAATAATAAAAAAAAAAGAATCCAGTAGGTGAAATAATGTATTATGACTTGGCCGGCGTCAACCCTCCACCACAAACACGACCCACCTTTAGAGACCTCGGCCACCGTACCGTATATATTGAAACTTTACCATGTATAGCTTAGATTGAATCTAAAAAGAACCTTTGCACGGAATATGGGCCCAGGAGATCTACGGTCAATACATATGATCAAATGCTTTACGATCGAGGTCGGGAAATGTCTCAGGGAAATGTGCTTTTCTTTTGCGTTGGTAATGTGTAGGGATCAATACCCAGTCAATGTCCTTTTGTTCCTGCCGACGTCTTCGTGTAGGGAAATGAATCAACAAACGTATCAGGAAAGCTAGTTGTCGGTAAAGTTGTAGTTAGGGAAAGATGATTCATTTCCATCCCATTAATTTCATCATTGTAACGGCAATTAGGTATTTCTGGCTAGGTGATAAACTGGAACGAGGGAAGGAGGTATTGTGCAGTGGAATTAGGATTTGTAATGGGGATTTCTATTATGTTCTTTTGGTTTCTGTTACGCGAAGGTATTAGTCATTGTTGGATTATGGATGGATATATAAGGGGGCGTTGTCTTGTATTTTTGTTTGTTTTCCTTCTTCTCTTCTTTCCTTACGCAACCTCTGTATTTATCCCACGAATATTATTCTTTGTCCGCACTACGTCATAGGGCTCCAACCGGTTTATTATACCAGGCAGAGCCACCCCATAGTCCATAGCCAAAGTATACCTTTACGTCTACGTCCACGTCTACGTTACTGCCTAGGTTGTATTCCTTGGCATCACAGTTTATCGCCTACAGTCCCCGTGATACGTAGGTTGCGTGCTCTATCGCCAACCAATACAACACCATAGTTTACAATGTCGGAACATGCATCTATTGATTATCAACAACTCAGCGATAGTCTCCAAGCCCTTTTTCAAGCGCATCCACAGGTCGATGATATTGTTGGAACTGAAGCCTATGCACTTCTCCAACAATGCCAACATGGTCTTGCTCAATACGCAACGGATTTACAAGAGGTAGAAGCGGAGGCCGAGAGGGCGAGGAGAAGGTTTGAGCAAGATCTTGTTGCTGCCCGAGCTCAACAGGCTCCTGTTGAGGCTGTCGCCCCTGTGCAAGCACCCAACGAAGACAATGTTCCACCTGCACCCCCAGTACCACCCGTTACAGATACTACCTATCGGTCGGAGAAGCTTCCAGACCCTGAGGTATTCAAGGGGGATCGTGATCGAGAAAGGTTACACCTGTTTAAGCAACAAATGAAGATTAAGCTATTGGGAAATGCCGATCGCTATCCTACACTACAGTCTAAACTATCCTATGCATTCAGCAGATTGGAAGGCATTGCCGCCAATCAGTTTTTACAATATGTTGGCGAAGAAGGTATTGCTTTACCCTCTATGCTACGATTTTATGAGGTTTTGGATACTGCTTTCGGAGATCCCGATCGGATGCGTACGGCTAGGAGGAATCTTAGGAACATCCGTCAACGAAATCGAACGTTCGCCGATTATTTCGCTGAGTTTCAACGGTATGCTGCTGAATCGGGTATGGATGAAGTCTCTCGGATTGAGGCTTTGATGGAAGGAATTAATGGGGAACTGGACGAATCGATGATACACCATGAGACTCCTGCAACGGTAAATGCTTGTGCGACACTTCTGCAACGGTTGGATAATCGTCGCCGAGCGGCCGAAGCTAAGCGAGGAAGTAAAAAACCTTGGACTACTACTACTCCGGCCCCTCGTCCTTCACCAGCAAGTCCTGTTTCTGCTCCCCGCGCTGCCGCCCCAGTCGCCAATGTACCTGTTACTGAAAGTCATCCCTCATCCCGCCCGGGAGGTGATGTACCAATGGATCTATCTGGAGGGCGTCGTCGCCCCTCCCCTACCGAAAGAAATGCCCGCTTAGTTGAGGGCCGATGTTTTTATTGCGGAGGTGTTGGACATATGGTTAGGGATTGCCCCCAAGCGAGGGCAACTGGAAATCAACCAAGAAGGCCTGTGATGAGAGGAGCAGCGTTGACAGTGGAAGAGAATGATGGAAGCGATAACGAGTCGGCAAAAGATTTGTCCCTGCACTAAGTGGCTTAGCCCAGGGACCGTTTAAGGATTTTTCTAGGATGTGTATTTCTGGTTTTTCGGTATCAGAGGAGGAAATGGATGGAAATCAACTTGTAGTAACTTGTTCGATTTCACAGAATAAAAATTCTTTTATACCTACCTACGCCCTTATTGATACCGGAGCATCAGGATATGCTTTTATTGATGAATCTTTTGCACGCCACAACAACCTTACAATGACCCTTCTCAAAATACCCCGCCATGTAGACGTTATAGATGGAAGGCCTATTAAATCAGGAAAAATTACCCATATTGTCGATGTCTCACTAGACATTCATGGTCATCGGGAAATTGCGCCATGTTTTGTAACGAAGTTAGGACATTATCCGATTGTGATGGGGATACCCTGGATGCGACGACATGATGTTACGATTCGACCAAAAGAAAATCTACTTGTTTTTGATTCTCAAAGCTGTTGTCGATGCTGTTCACTCAATGGAACTGCAGTTATTGTTCATGGCATCTCGATTCCTTTACCGGAATACCATACGGTCATCGTTTCAGCAACTGAAAAATCTACGATCAACATTGAACAATTAGTACCGAAAGAATTTCACCATCGTCTCCATATGTTTAAAGAATACGATGCTTCAATTCTTCCACCACATCGACCGTCCCATGACATCGAGATAATACTGGAAGAAGGTAAAAAACCACCATATGGACCTATATATGGATTGTCTCAAATTGAGTTGAAAGCACTACGGGAATACCTTGACGAAAATTTACCTAAAGGATTTATTCGAGCCAGTGAATCACCGGCGGGAGCACCTATATTGTTCGTAAAGAAAAACGATGGAACTCTTCGACTTTGTGTTGACTATCGAGGTCTAAATGCGATCACAATAAAAAATCGATACCCGTTACCATTGTTAAAGGAAACCCTAGCTAAGTTGTCAAGAGCAAAATACTATACAAAGTTGGATTTACGTTGGGGATATAATCAAATCAGGATAGCGGAGGGGGATGAATGGAAAACAGCATTCCGCACTCGATATGGACATTTCGAATATACGGTAATGCCGTTTGGATTAGCTAATGCTCCTGCCACATTTCAACATTGGATTAACGATATTCTACGTCCCCACCTCGATCAATTCGTAACAGCATACTTAGACGATATCCTTATCTATTCCGAAACCCTATCAGAACATAAAGAACATATTCAAAAGGTTCTAAAGGTACTTGATGAGAATCATGTTCACCTTAAACCTGAAAAATGTGAATTTATGGTTCAAGAAACAAAATACCTTGGTCTAATTCTTACTCCGAATGGGAATAGAATGGACCCAAAGAAAGTCGTTGATGTTTTAGAATGGACCACACCGACAAACCTCCGTGATGTTCAAGTATTTCTGGGATTTGCAAATTTCTATCGACGATTTATTCTAGGATATTCGAAAATTGTTGCTCCGCTTACAGCTTTGACAAAGAAAAACGTTAAATTTGAATGGACGGATGAAAGGGAGGAAGCATTTCAAACTTTAAAAAAGATGTTTACAACAGCACCGATACTAGCTCATTTCAACCCGGATCGAAAAATTGTGATAGAAACCGATGCATCCGACTATGTTTCAGCAGGAATCCTATCTCAACGAGATAACGAAGGAATCCTACATCCAGTCGCTTTCTTTTCCAAGAAACATTCTCCTGCAGAATGTAACTACGAAATCTATGATAAAGAACTTTTAGCAATTATACGATGTTTCGAAGAATGGCGACATCACCTGGAGGGAGCTCAATTTTCAATTGAAGTTCTTAGCGACCATCGGAATCTTGAATATTTTATGACAACAAAATTGTTAAATCGTCGACAAGCCCGTTGGTCTGAATTTCTTTCACGCTTCGATTTCGTTATACAATTTCGGCCAGGAAAGCAAGGAACAAAACCAGATGCATTGACTAGGAGGTCAGGTGACCTACCTAAAGAGGGGGATGAACGATTGACGCATCAGAGTCAAGTGATTCTGAAGCGAAAAAATTTGGATACTAAGCTAAGTTTGTTCGCGGGTTCTTTGTCAAATGAATCCGCCGAAGGAACGTCCACTGTAGAGGAGTTATTTTCGAAAGCTTATCAAGTAGATAGTTTTCCAAATAAGGTCCTCAATATGCTTCGGAATGGCATACGCCACTCAAACAAAATCTCGCTTGCCGAATGTACGGAAGATAACAACGGTCGGCTGCTTTATCGAGGCATGCTATATGTACCGGATGACGATGACCTTCGACTAAGGCTTTTAAAAGAATACCATGATAAACCATCTGCAGGACATCCGGGTAGAGCGAAGACTCTGGAGCTTCTAAGCCGAGAATATTATTGGCCACAGATGCGGAAGTTCGTCGATCAGTATATTAGGAATTGCAATATGTGCACCCGTAGTAAGGCATCACACAATGCACCTTATGGAGTACTTCGCCCCATGCCAATTCCCGATGGACCCTGGACAGACGTCTCGATGGATTTTGTGACTGATCTTCCTGAGAGTGATGGGTATAATGCGATTTTGGTCGTGGTGGACAGACTAACCAAAATGCGGCATCTAATACCAACGACCAAAGAGGCAGATTCAAAGGAAGTAGCGAAGCTATATATCGATTATGTTTGGAAGCTGCATGGACTACCAGATACTATTGTATCTGATCGAGGAACACAGTTCGTTGCAGAATTCTGGAAGTCGCTTTGTAATCGGTTGGAAATATCACCAAAATTCTCTACTGCATTTCACCCCCAAACAGATGGACAAACGGAAAGAATCAATGCCGTAATGGAACAGTACCTCCGAAGTTATGTTTCCTACCAACAAGATGATTGGGCTCGAATGCTACCAATGGCCGAATTTGCGACAAACAACCATGCTTCCGAAACAACAAAGGTCTCCCCGTTCTATGCCAATTCGGGAAGAAATCCAAGAATGACTTTTGGCCCTTTGGAACATGGTCGAACAACGGCTGAGGATCAAGCGAACCGTATTGCAAGAGAAATGAAGGATGTAGTAGATTTCCTAAGAGAAGAAATGTTTCGAGCGCAAAGGATACAAGAAGAATCAGCCAACAGAAATCGAACTCCAGCTCCTCGGTACCATTTAGGAGATAAAGTTTTCCTATCGACTCGTCATATTCTAACCAAACGACCTTCCAAGAAATTCGACTGGAAACGTATTGGACCTTATAGTGTTAAGCGCATTGTTAATCCCTACGCTTACGAGTTGGAACTTCCCCGGTCAATGAAAATTCACCCAGTATTTCATGTTTCACTACTGTCACCTGATGCGAATGATCCTTTACCGGGACAACAACAGTTACCACCACCTCCGGTTGAGATCGAAGGAGAAGAAGAATGGGAAGTCGAAAATATTTTGGATTCGAGGAAACAAAGAGGAAGGTTTGAGTATTTGGTACGATATAGAGGATATGATGAAGCCTCCTGGCAACCACTATCGGACCTTGAGCATTCACCTGATATTGTCAAACGATTCCATGAGCGTTATCCAGGGAAGCTTAAGCCTACCAGGAGGTAGGCCTTAGAGGGGGGCGTGGTCTGTAACGGCAATTAGGTATTTCTGGCTAGGTGATAAACTGGAACGAGGGAAGGAGGTATTGTGCAGTGGAATTAGGATTTGTAATGGGGATTTCTATTATGTTCTTTTGGTTTCTGTTACGCGAAGGTATTAGTCATTGTTGGATTATGGATGGATATATAAGGGGGCGTTGTCTTGTATTTTTGTTTGTTTTCCTTCTTCTCTTCTTTCCTTACGCAACCTCTGTATTTATCCCACGAATATTATTCTTTGTCCGCACTACGTCATAGGGCTCCAACCGGTTTATTATACCAGGCAGAGCCACCCCATAGTCCATAGCCAAAGTATACCTTTACGTCTACGTCCACGTCTACGTTACTGCCTAGGTTGTATTCCTTGGCATCACAGTTTATCGCCTACAGTCCCCGTGATAATCATTGTCCCTAGTTTAAGGGATGGGTAAACGGATCATAAAGACATTGTGGAGGCGCGTGAGGTGGAAATAGATTGGATAATATATATTGGATGACTTCCCGTAGGCGTTTAGAGGCGGTTGGGGTGGTATTTCGAGCAATAAAGGTTAGAAAGCAACTTTTCTGATTTTCAAAATCTAAAGACTTGAACAGAGAGAAAGGGGGAGTGGAGTGGTCCGTTCAGGTTTCTAAACACCAAAAAACACGTAAGCTCCAGCTGAGGGTTGGTTGCAACAACTAAAAACCGCAGGTTTCTACGGGAAGGCGTTCTCATCCAGATTGAAAATCTAGCTCCTGAATCTCTTCTAAATTACTTCTCTGGCCCGGAAAATCATCCATTATGGTTGTGAGGAGTGACGATGTATGTCTGGCATTGAACATACATATATAGCTCATGGCCGTAGAGTAACTACATGTACTTACTCCTGTAGCTACTACACTATCATTTATGCCGGCGGTGGTAATCTTAATTAATTATCGGTCGATCTATTTGACAAAATTGGAATGTAAAAGAAATAGAAAAAGGATAATGAAGGGATTGAGAAGGGACTCGAAACCTCTTTTTGTAGTAGGCACAATTAATGGATGGAAATGCGTCCGGAACATGCATCGTTTGTGAATTCGACACTGCAGGGGCCTTTGACTTTAAGCATATGAACAAGCACCAGATTACCGGCCATTATTTGTGTGCGCGATGCGACCACTGACTCATCTCCCGAGAGTGGTAGAGATTGGCATTCCAGAGAAGGAGAATAAGCAAAGCCTCTGAGTAGGAGACAAAGTACCTTGATGAATATATTCATGTCTTCCAAGAGAAAAACCAGGAAACAATTATATAAGGAAACAATTACATCAAGAGAAAGAGCTGGACGTAAGAATGCATGTACATTTTTAATCCAACAAAATCTCCAAAGCATCCATGCTGGTGTAACAGTTAAATAACATGTGGTCCTGAACTATAACAAAAATGAAGCGTACCTACCCAAACCTCTGGTTTACATACAAACACTCCGCAATTTCGAGAATTCTATTCTCTGTAGTATCTATCACCCACACTCTTCCATGAGGAACAAGCTTTTTGTGTGTCGCAAGGGAATGAAACTTGGCCACATGGGTGTTGTGATACACTTTGTTCATTGAAAGACTATCGATTATAGACCCTAGGTATAAGATGTTGTGCTTCGAATACAAGGCGAATGCCCTGAAATCTTGGAGCACTCCGTAACTAAGAGCTGGAATGATGCCGTTCTTGTTGACAAGGGAGAAAGTCATGGTATTTGTCTTCTGTCGCATTTGCTCGTTAAGGGAGGCCGCTGGCTCGAACCCATAACATTCGATTTTCCTTCCAGGAACCGTCTTCCTGTTGGTCAAGAAACTACCATTGGGGGCTGGCTTCACAAGGAGGGGAGCTACAAGACCAACGACCCCCCCTCCAAGTGAATGTTCTAACACTAGCAACTTGTGTTCTGGGTTCACCACTAGTGCCTCCATCAGCTGTGAAAGCGGTAATGGAAAATCGACTACCCCTTGAGCAGCTTCTCACATCCCCCCATGTACCTGAAAGGTTTGGCCCCACAGGTCAAGGTCGGTATAAAGGAACCGAACAATCCTTCAGTGTGGCCTCCAGAGTTCCGGTCCCTTCAATGCCAAAATCACTGACTTCTCACGGTCATCCACAGCCTTAAAGTGCTTCAGCAATGCTTTCCCGCGGACTACCTTCTGGTTGATGTATGGCTGTACCTTATCCCGCGGAATACCCATTGTCTGCTATGAATTCTTCGTCCGTCTTGATTAAGGGGGTGTTTGTCCCGTAGGCAGCGTGGGCATACTTCATGTAATGCTCGAAACGCTTCGAAATAGGACTGTCCTCAACACGAGAGATATTCCGTGTATTGTATACCGGCTTTTTGCTCATCTCTCGCATGATGGAAATCACTGACAGAGCAATATTGATATCGGCGAACATGAGCTCCCCAGAGAACTCCTGGTATACCATCTTTGCGATTTCGAGGATAGAATCTCTTATGTGGGGCGGAAGGAATTGTGCAAGTGTTTTTGCAGCAACTTTCTGTGCTAAGGGATCATTTACAACGGTATCAACAGCACCTGTCACTATGGTGGCACCACCGCAACCCAAAGATAGGACTTGGCGTGTAGCCATATGGGTTGTGGAAAACATTGCTGAACAAAGTGGAAATATTCGATAATTATCGGTTGTGACTTGCTTCCGAGGCGGCACTGTGAGGGTGACAGATGATGTTGTGGAAGAATTCTGATGTGGTATTGACTGGAAATATATATAGCGTAGAGATAGTGGTTTAATAAAGTTATGGAGTCTAACGATCTACTGTCAGGATCTCCCTGCCAGCGAGTTCATTGCCTAGCGAGCGCCGTGCCCAATCTCCAAACCAATACCTCTTAGCTGCGGCTTTAGTGGCCGAGTTCTGCGTGTGAAGGACTTCAAACCTGGTAGGTGGTGAGCACATTTGGTAGAGAATGAAGGTGTCATACATACTTCATACCGGATCAAGATTCGTAAGCACATTATTACCTTCTGGAGCCAATTATCATGAAAACAGAGAAGCTTGATGAGACGTGCTCAGAGTATGGTGCAGCGCAGTAACACAAACTTGGCAGTGACGTGATCATAGCACATGGCATCAATTGAACTGATTTCACTCCCCACGATTGCCACAATCGATGTCCCAACACAGCCAGCTGAAACTCACTGTGTTCGTGTAATAGTAGCAGTTCACTCAATGTGACATAACGTAACGTTCTGGTACGCGGGTTTGCTTATTCACATGTTGCTTTTAATGACGCTACATACGTATTACGCTGCAGGTCAATGCATCGGGAAGTAATTTTCTTTGTGTTTAACTCATTAATTGCATTCAACACTTCGCAGTTCGAAGAGTAGCATTCACATAGTTGTGGAGAGACTATCCCTTGGACGGATGAAACTCTCAAATTCGCTGCTCCCCTTATTCAGTTGATACTAGCTCTATCTCTTAACTCGTGCATTTTTTTGATTGTCTGTATTACGATTACCGTACACAAAAAGCAAGAAAATTACCTGATTTGGTGCATGCACGGTCCAGGTTGCGAATTTGAGAGTTTTATCCGTCCCAGGGATAGCTAGTGATTCGAAAACGTCGGATAACTTCGTTGCAAGTACGTCTAAGTGGAACCAATTCCGAGTGAATGGATTTAAGGGCGGAGTAGTTTGATTGATAATGCTCTACGCTAGACTAGTAATTCTTGATTCCCTGTTCTTGTTTCCGTATTAAGTATATACCGCAAAATCTCAGAATCAAACTGGATTTGAACATTGGGCTCCAGATTGGTTAAATGTTTTTTGAGCCTCGATCCGACGAATCTAAGACGTAACTTTGGTCGTATTGACAAATAAGCAAGTGGTATACCAGCTCAGTCCGATTCGTTATTCCTGAGATTCTAGACTGTGGTACATTTAGGAGCGAAATTTATATTTGAGGACGGTGCAATTTGGTGCCAAAGCGTACAGGAAAACACTATCCCCCGTTGATCTGTATAGAGTATGGTTCAATCATGCAGGCGCAGTCCAGCGTAAAATCAGCCATACGATTTTCTTCGATGCCGATCATGTAATATCACTGGGTGCATTTGCTTATGGTAGGTACTGCGCGTTTACTTTTTTCCTTTTTCTTTCTGGTTTAATTCATGTAGATACTGCGCGTCATTTAGTAATTTGAATGAACTGGTGCATCGCAAAATCTGAGAAGTTTCGTTACAATACTGAAGGGTTATCCTACACTGAAACCTGCATAATCGGTGCCACTAGTTAGCCTCACCCCGGCCCTAGTCAAATAAAACGATATATTGTCAATTCATGACAGAGCGTTAATGTGAAGAGTAACCCGTGGTATATAAATGTATATCCCGCAGAGCAGGAGAGATGAGCGGGAGTACGCGAAGTCGGTGTAAATCCCCTTTTTAATTCTTCTCTCATGAGCTTTCTTTATCAACCTACCTCTTGGATTTGCCGGGAAGTATTCTAGTGAAAAAGGCAAGCAGCCATGCAGCAGCGTGAACGCCAAAAGCTTGCCATCTGCTGTAACGGAGCCATTTCAACTGTTTGGTGTATGAGTACACACAGGGCCCGGTTACATGCTGAGAGTTATTGTTAGAAGCCAGTTGCACGGTGATATGCAAGTACCGGCAGTGTGGTTAGCTACTAGCTGTTAGAGTAACTACATTCCGGGCGCTAGGAAGGGGATCTATTCATGGAAGCAATGACTGACGAGTCTATTCCTCGCCAGTGACTAGAAGACCGGCCAGAGTGAAGCTCTGATTGCCCGGTGATCGTCTGTATCCTCGGTGCATTGTAAGTCCGCCGAAGTGCAGGGACTATGCTAGGGAAGTCTACAATCAGCGAAAGTTCTATAGCAATGATTAAGCTTACACCTGAGTGGCAGCTCATTCATGCAGGCCCTCGGTTGTGTGGCAACCAAGGCTGCAGGTGTTACAAAGGCTTTGACTAAAAGGTGGTTGCCTTGAGTATCGGAAACACCTGCTGACGCTTAGAGAAAAGTGGGGTAGCGGTGGTATTGCTTCCGGCACCGACGAAAGGCTCACCCGGAACTTTAGTAAGGAGTTAGGAGCAGAGAATAGAGGCCTTCGGAGTATAAGTACTCAGGTTCATTCTCGCCCTTTAGTCCTGTTCTCTCGAGTCTTCATCAGAAAGAAACTAGGTTCTTATCGGTAGCAGAGCCCTTAAAGATTATTGAGTTCTAGCGATAGTATCTTTGAATAATCTGCAACCTGATTGTCTATCTCCCATGGCCGTCTCTATTCTATCTCATTTTATTCCTCTTAGAAAAGACCCCCGTTACATCTGCGGGGGAAGGATTCACTAATTGTACAGGTGTTCAATATATATCACCTGCTTGATTTGATTCGCCCACATAACTATGCTGGTAAACGTATGATACAATTCGATATTTTGAATAGTATTTTGAACATATATGCCGATCAGCTGATCAGAGGAGCCATAAAGCTTCATGAGAGAATGGTTCAAACATAGACATATCACTGGAGATCAATCTCCGCTTCGTATTTAGGAAGTTTGGCGAGATTTCATGTATACATACTCCACTCAAGTGCAGCTCAATGTAACCTTAATCGCGCAAATAGTGTAAAAAGTATCTTGAAATCAATACAGAATTAGACGTTTTTAGTCGCTTGCAACATTATTTGCACATACAAATTTATCATATGTGGGTGCATCTTGGCGCATTTTTGTATGTGTAAATAATGAAAGTTGCAATCGAGTAAAAGCCTCTATTGGGTGGAGAATACCGAGACGAGGTATTGGTTCCGTACATATTATAACCTGCGATTCACTCTCTTGTAATAGAGAGGTTTTGCTGCGGCCGACACCGGGGTTTTCGCATAGTGAGACAATAATCCTCACATCTTCAAAACGGTAACCAATATCGATAGACCAGCAATGTGTGAGCAGGGTGTAGAGGGGGATGTTATTGTATTACTTTCTACTACAGTAGCGAGTGTTGCTGGAGTTCTTTGCCTACACCTTTACACTCGTGGTCATGATCAGGATGTTTCAGAGTACCGGGAACCATTGGAAATCCCGATTGGTATCCCGTTTGACCTAGACCTTTTGAGTGAAGACTACTGTTTAGCTTTTTTCCGGTAAGCATGTACTCAGGCTGGTCCGATTCAATTCCCACATAACAATGTCAAACAGATTTACTCATTACAATATTCATCATATGTTGCGGTTCTTCAGGTTGGAGCAAATGAACTTGAGGGTGAAATATACATGCACTCTAGAAACAGCAATGTATCTTGTTCTCTACAGACTCTCCGGACCCTGCCGGTATAAGGAAATAATGTATCTTTTCCAAAGGTCCCACTCCTGGCTGTCAGTTGTTTTTAACGACACCATTACATACCTACTCAATCGGGATTTGAATAGAATGGGTTGGGATCAACAGCGACTTACACTTGAAATAATTCGCAGATACGCCAATGTAATTCAACAAATGGCGGGACTCGGAGTAGGAAATTATTGGCATTTATTGATGGTACTATGTGAGCAATATGTCACCCTACGGAAAATCAGAGATTTTATTATTCTACATACAAAAAATGTCATTCAATCAAATTTCAAGCAGCAACGATCCCCGATGGTATTATCAGTCATTTTACGGGACCTTGGCCAGGAAGTCGTGGTGATTGGAACATGTATATAGAATCAGGATTACAACAACATTTACGAGAACTCCATATTGGTCAAAGAGCAGAGGACTGCTGTTATTTATATGGAGACCCTGCATATTCACTTTCATATGGCGTTAAGAGAGCCTACAGAGCTCTCCCCCATCGACCACTGAATCCAGTATTACAAGAGCTTAACGCACTAATGTCAGGTTTTCAGGTTAGTGTTGAGCATAGTTTTGGAAAAGTTTTGACATTATGGGGTTTTAACGGATAAAAAAGTAATGTCAAAATAGGTCTTTCCCCTGTCGCAGCATACTTTACTGTATCTGTTTTACTTGCAAATGTACATAGCTGTATATGCGGTAATCAAACAAGCCAACGATTTGATTGTCAACCACCGATATTGGAAGAGTATTTGGGTTAAAGATATTTATTTGTATATATTTCTAAAGTTTTTTGAGCTCATCAAGTTTCCCTAAAATATGAGAGAGGAAATCCGTACTCCGTGCTTCCTCCACCAATCTGTCTTCATTCCTTTGTCGCTCTATTGTTATCCTATCCTCTTCTCTTTCCCTTGCCAACTGCTCCCGTAATTCCTGGAACTTCCTATCAATCCGTTCATTCTGCTGAACTTGTGGTTGTCTAGAAGCCACAAGCTCACGAACAGCTGTAACCATACCGGAACCCAAACTCTCCACCGCACCAACAACAGCCAGTGTATCAGCAGAACGCTCACTACTTATCACAGGTCTCCTATTCTTTCTCATTTTTCTAACCTCTTTCGCAACAGTCTCATCACTTTCCTCCCTATCAGAATCTAATTCCCCGTCCCTGTTCCTTTTTTCACCTAAGCGGACCAACACATTGCGACGATGAACTGCGGCTTCCTCTGTTTCTTTAGCCAAAGCTGAATTTCCTTTAGCAGTGTCCGATACCATTCTCTCCAATTGGTCCTCATGTGCAATCCAAGCATCAATTTTTTGCGTCAGTTCATTTTCCCGTTGAACGGTACCTAAAAGATCAATTTATTAACTACTGACGATCCAAAAATCATAGGTATGAGATTAACCTACCACTTTCCCTTTCCTGCATACGCACTTCAGCTCTTCTTCGTGCGACTATCAAACTAACTGTCTTTTGCGGGTCCTTGAGCTTTACACCACCCGACTCCTGTTCCAACAGTTCAGAAATCAAGAGCCAAAAAGCACTCTTCTTTCCCTGTACATGCTTCACCTGGTAGTCAACATATAAGTGCATGAGCACTACCTTTTCACCCTCAGTAATTGTACAGCGTGGTCTCCTACTACTACTTTGAGTGTTGACAATCACTGGGGACTGATGGTGTTGCGGAGAACAGCTTGATACTGTGATTGATTCCCCGGTTTCAATACTCAAGTTTTGATTTATATCATCAACAGAGAGAGCTGCATAGGCAGAGCCAAAGACGCGCTGCACTGACTGTTGTAAGGGAGTAAGGTTCTGTTCCATATTGTTTCTCTTTGTCCGTCAGCTATGATGGTGATCGCGTTGTTGTTGTCTTTTTGGTTGCGACCATGAACGCGATTTATATGCAGTTAATGCTACTCAATTGACTATCAAAACCACTACTAGTACATTTAGTTATTTGAATCCCATTCTACTATTTTCTCCTCAAGCAATTTGTTTAACTTTTCCTCCGAAAACTCTCCCAAACGCTTCAAACTTCTCTCAATTTTCAGCTTTATTGCAAATTTAGCTGAAGCTCGCTTAGCTTTCTCTGTATTCCTAGATCTCCATCCCGCAGAACTAATTCTCTCTTGATGCTTTTTTTTCTCCACTTTTTGGTTGCCAGTTAGCAGATATAGCAGATATTAGTAATAGATATAGAGAGAGTACATACCCGAGGCCTTCTGATCCCTTATTTTCTTAAGTGCATCATGAACTTCTTGATGTTTTGGATCTTTGGTAGCAAAATGGAGGAGAGGTTGCCAAACAGCTATATGAGAATCAGGCCGGTGACTGAAGTCTTTAAAACATGCTGGGCATTCCTTGAACTTTGTACAGTTATCCCTCCATTTCTCATAAGGGTTTTGATTTTGAACTGGAAGTGGGACTGAGGATTTCAAAGGCTTCTTCCTGATTCTGCCTATAGCTGTATAGCTATAAGGGGCAGCCTGTGTATTTGGCTTTGGGGTCGGCATTGTGAGGTTGAGTTGAGATGAGTGAGTGAAAGCAAACATGAGCCACATACAAAAGTGGCGAACACCAACATGATTCGCGACAACAGCGCGACCACCAGTACCCCAACGCGACCAGGAGCACCCCAGCGTGACCAAACCAAAACGGTTTTTGGGTGCTCAGTGCAGGCTTCGGCGCATAAGCGGATACAGGCGCGCAAAATTTCTCTCATTCTCGACCTCATAGACAACTTACTTACAGCATGCAAACGTACTCGATATCGGACGGCCACAGCAAAACCTCTCTAATAGCACATTTCACAAAACATTTACCTCGCGTTTTCTTACTTGCAACTGTACATATGATGTCTCGTTTCTTGATCCCCAAGCCTGGAATAATTCTTAGGAACTCCGCTTCATTAAGGATCGAAGTTAGCTGGTAGAAACAGAATCTGCTTCAAAGTCGCTGTAATTACAAGTTGCGCAGTTGCATACTCACGGTGTGCATATGCGAAAAATGCGCATCAATTGGCAGGCGGTTTCCTTCAAGTAATACGTGTTAGAGAAGTTTTGCACTCTCCGGCCAGATATGAGGTGCTGCCCTCAAGCTGGATGTTCAATGCATGAACATATAAAGAGTAGTTTCGCTTCTTCTGTTTTTCCTCTACCGAGCTAACGGTGCGCGGAGACCACCGACATCAGCCGTGCGCAGTGAATTTCCTGGCCGATGGTTGGGCAAATGTACCTACGTATGAACGCGCGTCTTGATGCTTGGTATCTTTATTCACCATTTCTAGCTAGTACCTAGCATGTGCTTTTATTGTTTAATTCCATAAAGTGCAGCGATTTACAGGCATTTGACGAATACACCCATTTGGTGAATTTGTATGTAGCAACCAGCCAGCAACCAGTCAAACTGCGAGTTTGACTAAGATATCCTGATTCTTATTGGCCGTAACCTTTGTTCGTCAAATGGGTGTATTCGTCAAATGTCTGTGTATCGCTGTACCCCTCTGTCTAGATCTTTGGGTATGCTCGGGGCAGTCCACAAGCACCTGAATATGCAACCTGCAAGTAGGTCTCGACCGGGGGTAAGGACTGGGGTTGCTATTGGGTAGGTCTGACTTGGCGGGTATGGGGAATATCAAGAATAGAGTATCAACGGTTCGAAGGTTTGAATAGTTTGAGGAGTAGTAGATTAATAAAATATACAACTAGAAAACTAAAATTGCAAAGAGTATCTACCATCTAGTATGACCCCCGCCAGCCTCAATCACTGCTGCAATACGTTTGCCATACTATCTACATATTCTAGTATCTCATCCTCTGTGAGAGCATTCCACTCTGCTGTTATCGATTCCCTCATTCCTTGTACTCCTATAAGACAAGGGTCTATTTGATTTATCCTGTTCTTCAAAAGATTCCATACATTTTCTATAGGGTTTAAGTCAAGTGAACATGCGGGCCAGACAAGAGAAGGCATGTTGTAATAGTCGCGTTGAGTCCGTGTTAAACTGACTCTATGAGCAGAGACATTGTCTTCCATCACCTAGACAGTATGATCTGGATGGACTTGATTTTCCCAATACCAAAAGGGCCACAGGACGTGTTGTAGGACATTCTCAATATAGGTTACTGCTGAAATTGTACCCTAATTGTCGCGATCCCAAAGGACAAGAGGTGCTTTTTTCCCGCCAATAATTCTGCCCCAAATCATGACTGAATTCTACTTTTTGAAAGTAGACGCGATACATGATTCAAGGTAATCTTCACCAGGGCGACGCGTAATCCATACATTACCGCGTGCATCACCTGACCAAATGTATGACTCATCCATCTAAATAATGCGTCACCAATCGTGAACAGTCCAGTGGCGATGAGCTTCAGCAAAGGCCAGACACCTCTCTTTGTGTACACTCTTCAAAAAGACCTTTTTGCGTGCAATTCTTCGATGATAACCCTCGCGTTCAAAGGCGCGTCGTAATGTCTTTTCCGTAGCCGATATTATATAAATCTCGGCAATCTCATTGTATCGTTTTTAGCGATGCTCGGCATCAAGAGTAGCTGTAGTTACTAGCTGACGGCGGAGTGGTGTAGTAATTTTAAGAGGTCGTCCCTTCTTCTTTCTTGGAGTAACAGGACCATTGCAAATATTCCAAACAATGCCGATTCTCACTTGTTGATTGTCTGCTATCTTTTGCAAGGTCTAGCCTGCCTCGTTACGCAAACACTGGATGTAACAACGCTTCTTGTAGGAGCACTCAGCGGTTTTGACCGTGACCATGATTGATTGTTTGCAGGGATAAGAAATAGAGTAGGATATCGCTATGGTACAAGAACTCAACCTACGGATTACATTTTTATTAGCCCCTATTGATACGATACTTGTTGTCCCCTCCTCCAATAGTAACCCCAGTCATTATCCCCCAGCCGAGACCTGCTTGCAGGTTGCATTTTCAGGTTCTTATTACCTGCCCCAAGTAGACACAGCCTAACCCTTTAGCTCTACAGCATATGCATCTGTTCAATTCCGTGGGTTCAATCACTTCAAAGCTGAAACAATCACAGCTTGTGAGTATCTTAACTGCAAAATTTCAAGGAATTCAATTGGTCCTTGCAGGTCTTAGATATAGATGATCATAAAGAAACAAGAATTTGAGTAGTGGATATATATATGGCCATGCGCCAGAAACTAGTACTCTAAAGGAAATATATATGTGAGGCGTATATCTACCTCTTAGTCAATCATTCTAGTAGACAGCCCTGCAAGTACAGAGATAACCAAACTGGGGATTTTCTACTGTACTCATCCCCAAATATTGTTTGATGATGTCTGGAGCAGATAGTTAATAGTCATGCGCAGCTGCACAGTACTAGAAAGTAGGCTGTTGGACCTTGAGAGATCTAGAGCGCTTCAAGTGTTTACACCAACCAAATAATTAATTGGCTGTAGATTGCAGAAGTGATCCATTGCCCTACATACGCCCCCAAACTATCTGTAATAATTGCTTATGATGCTGTAATTAGCTATAATGTACGAGTCTTAGATATGCTCTAGCTATATTGATGCATATACATATCCATACAGATGAATTACTTAGGCCCTCAGCTCACTCGACTCTTATATTGGATACATATATATACGCGGGGTCATGCATCCTCTCAAGCAATCGAGAACCCCTTCTCAACTCCGCCAAAACTTGATGAAGTGCGGGGATCCTCTTTAAACAAGAGACATTTCGCATGATGGCTTGGTTAGCCTTTATCAACCTCAACCACTGGGCCTTCTCTTCACTGACGAAACCCACCCTCACTGGGGGTCCTTTCATACAGGGTCCCGTCGGATATCGAGCTCGAAGGTCACCTTCCAAATACCACCAGCACCTGCTCCTCCTTCTCCTCTTCCTCCAAGCCATCATTTCTAGGCCGGCAAACCTCTTTTACCCCCACCATCTGCCCTTCAAGGGGATGTGCGGTTGGTGGCATACCATAGTCACTATAGCTGGGGTTTTTGGGATACTAGTACTTTTTTTTCTTTGGTCATGCTATTTTCCTTTATGTTATCTTTATTTTTCTCCTTTTTTCTTAGGCGGGGGTTTCCTTAGTCATCAACCTTGTAAGAGGAGTGCGGTTGGTAGCATACCATAGTTACTATAACTGGGGGACTGGCATTGGGGATAGGTCTTTACGCCATAGTTTATACTGCATGCGATGGTTGTACCTAGAAACAATTCAAATGACTTCTTTCATGGATCGATTAGTGGATATACGGGGTTATGCAGAGTCGGATTAGTCAGAAAGGTTCTATTGGGTTCTATCGGATTCTGTCCATCGTTAATGTATGAGTCATGTTGGATTTGTCATCGCTGGGATTTCCTTGAGTATATTAAGGGGGGTTTTGTTTGTATTTCTCGTTCTTCTTCTTCTTTTTTCTTTACGCAACGTCTTCTGTACCTACGCTGCCTATTGCTATACAATATTATATTCCTCTTCTTTCTTTAAGAAGACCACCGCCTCGCCCTCTCCTTGTCCCGTCGAACCTTACCAACGCTAGCGTTCCGTAGTACCCCTATTGCGAGTTCCCATACCGTCCCCTATTACCCTCTTCGTACCCTGCGGAATACTCGCTACTCATCCCCTTGAGAACTTCACACACACACACATACGCGGGGTCATGCGGCTCATGCCCTCACCACCTACAGATCCAGAGTAAACCAATCGGCCATCTTTGCACGACTAGCGAGGAAATCCGCAATGATGGGCACTTAATACTATATAATCGCAAACAACGACATGTGCGTGATACCATATTCTAGAGTATGATATGTCGGTTAACTCCGTCGCAAGATTGGCTACATGTAGGTTAAGCCATTTAATTTAGTCATAGTACCTAAGCTAACAATAACTATTGTCAGGCGGACCGCAGATCGCGCCGAACAGCAGAGGTATTTTAAAAACCAATTCCAATCTGGACAAAGAAGACGCCGAACAATTTTTACACCATTCAGCCCGATCGGACACCTCGCATAAAGTGAAGTATGTACCACCCTGGGTCTGCATCGAAGGGTCCTGCGCCGTAATACTCTATTCTACTCGTAAATTCATGAGGTTTCCGAACACGACTGCTATTGCATACCATATAAAAAGCGCTAAATCCACCTTTTTGTATGTCATGCAATATTGGTCGTGTTCGGAAACGCTATGAACTTACAAGTACAGCACCTAGTGGGTTCTGACCGATTGATCATAAGGCGTCCTATCTAGGCCCAAATGAGATTAAAAATAGACTCTATTCAGAAAGAACGGTCAATATCAGTGCTCTGAAACGGTGAGATAGTGATATTGATATCAATGACTCCCCCACGAGTGGAAATCCATCCGAAAATGCATCAGACTAATTTTGTGTGGGGAACATCGTCGGGAAATGAAGCAAATAGTAAAACAATTGTTAAATCGAATGGAAAATGTATTAAATATTGTATATGAGGAGATAATTAAATTTGAATGGGTGAATTTATTAAATTCGTATTGAGGGCCGGGAAAAAGAAATTTGGTCCGTACTTTACTCAAGCGTTCGTTACATAAATGGTCGCAACCAAATCCCTACAAGAATTCCGAACGCATGAGTACTAGTACAACACCTCTGTAAATTGATTTTAAGTGTTCTATTACGACTTTATATCTATTAATTTCCCTATTTTCTCAACTGTATATATTTATTAAAAGAAAAACTTAAAAAAACATATGGATGCCTATTAGTGTCGTTAATACTGTCATGACTATAAAAATGTAGTGCCCCTAGTGCGCTGCCCAGCTCATGCTAATTAAGAGACTCTAGGGCCTAGATCTGGTAGAATTATTATGGAAACAGGGGGTTTCTGACCAATGCTATCGTTCAATTCAAATCTTCGCTGAGCACATGCACAGAGATCTCCCACGCCACATTTCCACAATAAGTCTACCAGAGGCTGTATCTTCATGTACGTCGCTATCGAAGTACACGTATCAAAGTAACATAACACATATCACAATCACCTAAATCCGCCAGTATATTTTCGGCTAATTCAAAAAATCTCAAACAATACGTATAGCTCTATATGTTAAATAACACTAAGAAAAGAAAGGACAACATCCAACCCTTCATAAAAACCTTTAGAATTTATATTGCATACTCGGTATATCTATATGCTAATAGGATAAGCGGGAATAAATGAATTGATATTTCGACAGTATACGTATACATTTCAAAACAGAGCGCAATATTATTTCCCAATACCTGTTGTACGCTCTTTATAGCCAGATATATAGCTTGTATCCACATCATCACATATGAGTATTTAATCAACATAAAGCATCTAGTCCCCCATAACGCTTGCTCAGTTTTGTTTCTCTCATCATCACCGCCCACCCCCGCGATATCTTCAATATCAACTCTACAGATCTAACCCATACCTAATCTCAGCTTAACCATGAGTGTCATTGGAGATTTATGCACGCTTCGCACGGATATTCACTCCTTGTTCGACAAGAGCGCAAACAGCGATGAAAATATCTACGCAAAGATTCTTGAGGATCTCCTCCAGGCTGGAGGTGATTTTGCAAAGAATTCCGCTCTTATCGTCGAGATTGTGAAGGAGAAGATCTCGGGGAAGCCCATGGATGACCGCACAATGATTGTTCGTATCCATTGTAATTGAGATATATATCTACGCTATGCATGCGCTTACGAAATTGTGAGCTAGATGGAAAGAATGATACAGCTTGTTGCTGGACTTCCGGAGAGCTCATTTGCCCGTAAGAAGGTGACGGAGGTGCTCGTAGGTCAGCTATGGAACTCACTGCAACATCCGCCAGTGTCCTATGTGGGTGAGCTCTATCAGAACCGTCAGCCGGATGGCTCCTACAATGTACCGTATCCCTCGTTCCATTTTCTCTTTAGTATCTATATATATATATATGCTGTTCCGTACTGACGATCGTGGCGGTGGTGGCTTATGCCAACAGAATACATTGCAACCAAATCTGGGTAAGGCTGGAACACCATACGCACGATCCCTACGCCCATGCGCAATCTCATCGGTGAAATCATGCGGGGCGAAACCAGATCCAGGATTGCTCTTTGATTGTTAGTCTTGACCTTTGTGCATATGTTTGAGCGTGGATTTGAGTGTATTTGGCTGACAAGAGACAGTGCTCATGTCTCGTGGGGATACCTACGATGAGAACCCTGGCGGCATTTCCAGCATGCTACTATACCACGCTTCAATCATCACCCACGACATCTTCCGTACCGACCGCAAAAACCAATCGATCAATGAAACCTCGAGCTACCTCGATCTATCCCCTCTCTATGGCTGTTCCCAGGCTGAACAGAACAAGGTTCGCAGTTTTCGGGATGGAGAGTTGAAGCCGGACACATTTAGTGACGCCAGACTGTTGGGGTTCCCACCTGGAGTGAGTATGATGTTGGTTATGTACTCCAGGTTCCACAATTATGCCGCAAGAATGTTGGCTGCCATCAACGATGGTGGGAGATTTACACCGCCGAGAAATTTGAGAGGAGCTGACGCCCTCAAGTGGAAAGACGAGAGGTTGTTTCAGGTGGCAAGATTGTAAGTATCATTTCTAAGTCGTTGGCTATGTGACGCCGTAAGAGGGCATGACTGAATATATTTTGTTCAATGAATTTTTCTCATGGATTTTGTCCCACTTACATGGCTTCTTTGGTAGGGTCACGAATGGGTTATACATCAATGTTAGTCTTCACGAGTAAGTACCTCACCACATGTTTCTCCCCCCCCCCCCAACCTTCTTCTCTCTCTATCACCTCACTCTTCGCAAAAGAGAAGAAGCGGTGAAGGCTTTCGTACGGAGAGAACCGGCGAGAGAGTCACTTATTGTTATATAGTTACCTTCGAGGGATCGCCAACGTAAACTCCACCGAATCCACTTGGACACTGGACCCACGTGTCGAGATCGACAGAGCCTTAGACGAAGAAGGGGTTCCACGAGGTGTGGGGAATCATGTTTCGTGTGAATTCAATCTTCTCTACCGCTTTCATTCCGCCATCTCCGATAGAGATGCCAAATGGACTCTAGACTTTTACCATCAGATCTTGGGAACGAATGAAGACCCTAAGCTGACATCATTACCAAAAATGCTCGAGGCGTTGGTAAAGTTTGAAGCTTCTATATCCGAAGATCCGTCAACAAGAGTGTTTGGAGGGTTGCTAAGGAAGCCGGATGGTACATTCAATGATGACGATCTGGTGAAGATATTGAAAGAGAGTATCGAAGATCCAGCTGGTATGCCTCTCCAAAACGCTCAGATTTGATCAACCCACAGATCATGTATAATCTCGTTCCCGGTCTGGCTGGCTGACCTGGCGGGGTGCGCGCTTGGTGTTGCAGGTCGTTTCGGGGCGAACCATGTCCCGGACATCATGAAACCTGTCGAGATTCTCGGGATCATGCAGGCCAGATCCTGGCAGGTGGCGCCCTTGAACGAGTTTAGAGACCTTTTCAAGCTTAAGCGGTACGAGACTTTCGAAGATATCAACCCTGACCCGTATGTCGCCACTACCTTGAAAAGGCTTTACGGTCATCCCGACAATGTCGAGCTCTATCCGGGCATGTTTCTGGAATCCTCGAAGCCGAGAATGGATCCAGGAATGGGACTATGTAAGATATTGAACATCTAATTTTCTGCATAGATCACTGAATACAGCCCGCTGATGGGGATGAATTAACTCTATCGATATGCAGGTGCACCATATACTGTTACAAGAGCAGTTTTCTCAGACGCCATTACTTTGGTGAGAGGTGACAGGTTCTTGACACTGGTGAGTTGAGTTTTTTCTCTACAAGTAGCACATCCTCCAAGAATATCATGTTAATGACCTGTACGGCATCAGGACTACACACCCTCCAATCTTACCAGCTGGGGAATCACCGAGGTTGCCCAAGATTCGAAAATTCTTGGGGGCCCTAAGATGTACCATTTGATTCTTAACGCTTTCCCCAATCACTTCAAATACAACAGCGTCTACGCTATGCAGCCTTTTTATACCCCCAGGGAGAGTCGTAAATTCTTCACAAAGTTCAGGAAGATGGATCTTTACTCCTTCGACCCACCTGCCACACAGCCAGCAATCATCCCCATTGTGAGCCACGCCGCGCTCAGAGAGGTTCTCGCAGACAAGAAGAACTTTCGCGTCCCATGGGGTGCCAAGATGGCCTCTCTAGAGAGCTATATGCTCGCCTCTGACAGTGATGCCAGCGCAGAACAGAGAGAGGTTGTTGGTAGGTTGCTGTATGGTGTAGATGGAGCGATGCAAAAGTTCGCAGCATATACGGAGGAAATAACACTGAAGTTGCTACGACGGGAATCGTATGAACTGGGTAGACATTCTGTGTACCAAGTTGATATTGTTAAACAGTAGGCCAACCAGTTCTGTTTAGAGTGATGGGAAAGATGGCTGACTCTTCCATCACAGCATTGCGAACTATGCTGCCCTCCACTTTGCGGCAAAGCTTTTCTATCTCCCCCTCCTTTTCCCGCTAGGTACATCCTATACGGAACCTGAACTTCTAAAGGTCCTCTGCGATCTGACAGCATACGTGTTTTCGGATGCCGACCCAACCAAGTCCTGGGCTCACCGACAGGCCTCACAAGCAGGGACCAAGAAACTTTGCTCGGAGATGGAGGATATTGTTCGCCGCCTGACACCGTTTACATCTGCGGCTGCCTGTCCCGTTACTGGAACAACGCCTACCCCCCCGAAATCACCCCCAAAGACATTAATTGGTGGTGCCATCCGCTTCGGCGCGGGCCGGATTGCACAGCGCGCTGAACAGGCAAGAGCGGTAGTGGGTGTGGCAGACGCTGTTGTTACTAGCATTCTGACTGGAGGCTCGAGAGGGGAGGACACTGGGCCTCTGGGCGACTATGGTATTACCTTTGCACGAAGGCTGCTCGGTGCTGGGAAAGCAGCGCGAGAGGTTGCGGAGATTCTCGTTGGAACAGCAGCTGCCTTTGTGGCTAATACTGCGACCGCTGTGAGTAGATAGATCATTGACCCCTGATGCCACTCACTAACAACAAAAAAACAATACCACCAGTTTACTCAACTCATCGACTTCTATCTTGAGGCAGAAAACTCTATTCATTGGTCCGAGATCCAGCGCTTGAGCTCCTTGAACACAGCCCTTGCGGACAAGACATTAACCCATTACGTTCTTGAGGGCATGCGTCTCTCGAACTCTTTGGGCATCTTCCGAGATGTGGAGCCTGTTGATGGTGTTTCAGCCACTATAACACAAAATAATAACACTATCACTGCGAAGAAGGGAGATCGCGTCTTTGTCAGCTTCGTGAGTGTCCCCATCCCTATACTCCCCCTTTCCTCACCTCTTCCCTTTTCCGGCCAGATATCTATGCACTTATCGTACCCACACAGCTCGAATTGTTGGCTCATCAGGCACTACTTAAATGTAATAATAGGTGGCTGCCTCCCGAGACCCCAGTGTCTTCCCCTCGCCTCTCGAGGTCCGCCTTGATCGCCCCCTCGATTCGTACATCACGTTCGGCGAAGGCCCACACCAATGCCTTGGAAAGGACCTCAACATCGTGCACAGTCTCACAATGCTGAAGGTGGTAGCTCGATTGAAGGGATTGCGTCGTACCCCCGGCGATGAGGGAAGATTGAAGTACATTAATAAGCCGGGCGGGATCAAGCTCTACATGACCCCCGACTGGAGCCAATTTACGCCGTACCCTACCAGTAAGCCTTTCAGACGTTACCTATACCTCTCAGATAATGGCTTGGCTAACATGATGCAGCGATGAAATTGATGTTTGATGGGCCACCTTGAGGAATATACAAGGGACTGGGATAGCGTCACGTTACAGGGCTTAGTTACTGAACTACTGTGTACTTTTGTTTACGTATCAATTCAATGGATTTCTTGTGTGTTAAGCTTCTCACACATAATCGATCATGACTTTCGGAGGTTCACGAGATCTGATAACTTGTCGCCAATTGGGACTACTCAACCCAGTGAGAATAAACTTGTATCGAATATCTAACTCCGAGTTGTTGGATATGTGGGAATGAGCATAAACCCAGAGGTGAGTAGTAGATGTTGAGGATTAGAAGCTATCGGATATGTCATGTTTTCATATGAATTATATCCCTTCGTGTGTTTCAATGGCCTAGCGCTGATAGGCCACCATTGTCCGCTATTGAGTGAGCTACGCCGGGAACCAAAAGTTTCCGACATAATCCGCCCCGTTGGGTCCGGGGGCAGGAAACCTCAACTTCAACCAACTCCAGCTAATAGTTCACAACCCCAGCCAATAGTTCACAACGCCAGTGGATAGTTCATGAAACTCATCAAATATTTCTTGAGTGAGTTTCTGTTAACCATGATTTTGGAATTGATCTAACTATTGTCTAGGAGTGCTAGATCCAGCCAACTGTTTGGATAAGGTACCTAGCAATACTGTCTCCTCCTAACCAGCCGGGATCAAAACGAAACGATTATTATTGTACGGCAGCAAACTCATGGAAAACATCCAACCATAACATCAAAAAACAATGCTCGGACATCTCGACTAGTAAGGAAACGTGTATACGCTATAATTGGGATCATTATCCCTCTTCCAGTTCTCATATCCTATATAAAAGTTCTCGAACCACCTCCGCGTTATCACTTGCAAAACTTCACTCTTCTTCATGGGACTTTCAGGGTGCATCCCACTTCCCAGCGAGTCCTCAAACAGCGGCTGTAGAACATATTGACAGAAATGGCAAAGCGCTTCGATCTGCTGAGGCAAAATAGGCTTGCGATCCTCACGAACAACGATGACACTTCCAGCCGGGCTCTGCCATTCCATTGGTGCCCATCCCCACTGGCTGCTGTTGGGGTCAGCAACTAGGTGCAGGAACGTCGCGGCCTGATTGGTTGCGTTGTATTCCTTCCTACTTGTGTTCTTCAGTGATGTTTCACCCGGCGGACACCTGCTGATCCTGATGGGGAGCTCGATGCGTTTCGATATACTTGATACTGGCGCTCTGAATACCGGATGGTCTATGGAGAGCTTGATAGGCTCAAATTTTGGTCTTCCACCGATATCCTGGTCGCTGCGACAGTTGATCCTGACACCAGTAAATTGTTCTTTGGGGCGAACGTTGGCCGCGGTCTTCTTGACCAGACTCATATCGCTCAAGTTGTGGTTAGGGTAGGAACAAAAGAAATCGACGACATCCCGGAAATCAACCGTGTCGATGTCTATGTAACACCGGGGATCAATACTGAGGCCCGGCAACTTCATTGCCAGCAAAGGTCCGCTCCATCCATGACCAGAGGTACCTCTGGTAACCGCGACGATACTTTGGTTCAACTTGGACCCATCGATCAAGAATGTGTCGCGGTAGTGAACCTGAAGCTGATTTTGGAGATCGCGTGAACGGAGATTATTCCCCGTAATCCGGGACGAGCGATCGATGCCACCGAACTTTTCGAATTCCGGATTCTCATACCCGGTGCCATCATCTTCGTCTACAATCCACTTAGTGGGGACCCAAACAAATCGGGGGGTATTCGAGTCATCGGGAAAGAGGATTCCGCGTTTGAAGGTCCCCCCCCCAGGTGGTTTGGAGAACTTTTGGAATTCGGCACAGAGGATTTTGTGGACCGGCCAGTCGGCTTTTTGGCAATCTTTCGAGCAATAGGCGCTGCAGGTGCAGCTCTTGCAGCGTTGCGATGTCTTGCTGCCGCACATTGTGCATTGCTGCTCTGATGTTTGTGTGGATTGCATTGTCGGTAGAACTATCAGGTTTGCTTCGTAGTACTAATATGATCAAATGAGTAGTACTATCTATAGGAATGGTGTACTTTCTCGTTAGCAGCTGCCACTAATGATGATATATATATATAGGTCGAACTCACAAGATGGCTAAGGAGTTTCCTATTCTTGGCGGATATTCTAATGCTCGCAAATAAATCAGGGGGATGGAGAGCTGAAGGAGACCGAGATTACCGGAATTTCTTATATAGTTCGAAATGTAGGAGGCCTGAATCCTGTTGTCGCCGAACCAGGCAAAGCAAACCGGAATGTCAGGTCTGATGCCATGGTGGCACCACTCCCACTCCACCAAGCCTCGCCTACACCCCTACTGATTGTGCATAGATTAGATAATGGAGAAGTCTAACGGTTTTGGTACGACGCCAAGGCTCGTTTAGGCCCGCAAAGCTTAGCTCAACGCCTTGCACGGTAGAGGTTGGAAAAACCACGAGGCTTGGCAAAGAATGCCATTGATCGGGCGTATCTAAAATTGGCCTGGTAATGGTAGTATTTTGATACCTACCCTGTGAACAGATACTCCTATGTGTTCTCAGCGACCAGGTTGGCTATGTTGGTTGTACATACATACAATCGCGGTATGTGAATTGTTACCTCCATACATGTATCTTCCGAACTGACTGGATCCGCTCGGTTCACTTTTGCACTTTTGTAGTCAAACAAAAACTTGCCAAGAAAAGAGACCGAGTGAGAGGATATATTTCAGCCGTTCGAAATGGATGGAGACGCGAAGGAAGAGCCGGGACGCATCCGAAGACACACAGCACTCGCAGGTGTAGTTGTTAAAGTAGGTCACCTGCAGACAGGAAGTAAATCGAGCTGTAGAGCTGGCGCGAGCGAGTGCCGTGGGGTAACAACGGCCGTAATCAAGACGCAGAGTCAAAGGTACCTGTAAAGGTCATTGTACAAGTAAAAGAACAAAGAACAGTAGATTCCCAGGGAAAAAGAGATTGTATTCTCCTACTTAAAAATAAAGTCGGATATTGGCCGAGCCACCTCTCATGATTGCGCCAACTACACAAGCTAGTCAGCAGAACATACATGTAGGCAGACAGGCAAGCATCAGCATAGGCCCAGTAGACTGCTCTAGATAGAACTGTCTATATGACTGCAAAGGCACAGCGCAGCGACGTGGACCAGTCGATCGAGCGCCCAAACCTATGCATGGCAGAGTACACAAATGAGTACTACGGTATGTATGTTTCCTGATACTTAAAATTTTTTGTTTGCCTAACTTTTACTGATGGAAACACATAAGATCATGATTCCTATATCCACAATTCAACAATGGACTACTGCACCCGTATGCTTTTGTAAGGAGATCTACCTGCCAATGGGGTACAGTATGAGGACAGCATACCTGATGGTAAAAAGACTCATTTTATTATTTATACCTCCCTTAAAGCCTATCTAGGAAAACGCATTCAGAAGGGAAATCAAAATCCCGTACTTTTATTGTTGTTAAAACCGCGGGAGGTGTCTTCTATCAGGGGACGGGGCGCAGCACACTTGGTTGCAGAATTCTCTGATGAAAATTTACCAGACATAACCGATAATGAACTAAGTCAAGAGGAAGATTCAGATTGGGAGTAATAATTTTTTATTTGTATTTAACTAAAGATATTTAATATGTCCACAATTGAATCACCGGCAGACTTTTTTTTTTTTTGTGTGGGCGGGTTGTTAGGTTATCGTTGTCTCGTTGCCACCGAAATCCTTAATTGCACTTTGGTAGTTATGAGCCGCTGTAGCCAAGTGATCAGGGTTGGCAGGGTTAGGGATGGCAGCCGATGTAGAGTATATGCGGTACATGTGGTACATGCAGTACTTTTAGAGTAGAGGAATCGGAGGGAGGGCTGCACACTGCACACTGCACACTGCACACTGCACACTGCGTGACATCGATCGATACATACATACTAGGGGTGCGCCACCTCGCGACCGCGAGGTCCCCTTCTCTCCCACCTATGTGTAGTATCTAGGCACCTCCAGTAATTAGTTGATTTTGTCTTAGCTGTCTCATGGTCTGTTTTCCCGGCCATGTCGCATAAATGCCTAAATCTTGCTCTGAAGATCTATTTCCGATTTTCAATGCCAGGTCCAGTGCCAGCTCTAATGCCTGCTCCGATGCGAGCTAAAATCAAGGTCAGCCCCAGTGTCAGCTTCGGTGTCAGCTCAAATATATGCCAGCTCTAACCGAGGCCGCCCGAATGCCATCTCTAATGCCCGCTCCAGTGTCAGCTCCATTAGATGCCGGTCCCAGTTGTAACGGGGGTCTCTTCTAAGAGAAATAGAATAGAGTAGAATAGAGACAGCCGTGCAAGATAGACAATCAGGTTGCAGATTATTCAAAGATACTATCGCTAGAACTCAATAATCTTTAAGGGCTCTGCTACCGATAAGAACTTGGTTTTTTCTTTCTGATGAAGACTGGAGAGAACAGGACTGAAGGGCGGGAATGAACCTGAGTACTTATACTCCGAAGGCTTCTATTCTCTGCTCCTAACTCCTTACTAAGTTCCGGTGGGCCTTCCCTCAGTACCGGAAACAATGCCACCGCTACCCCGCTTTCCTCTAAGCGTCAGCAGGTGTTTCCGATACCCAAGGCAACCACCCTTAGTCAAAGCCTTTGTAACACCTGCAGCCTTGATTGCCACACAACCGAGGACCTGCATGAATGAGCTGCCGCTCAGGTGTAAGCTTAATCATTGCTGTAGAGCTTTCGCTTATTGGAGACTTCCCTAGCATAGTCCCTGCCCTTCGGCGAACTTACAATGCTCAGAGGATCTAGAGGATCACCGGACAATCAGAGCTTCATTCTGGCCGGTCTTCTAGTCACTGGCGAGGCATAGACTCGTCAGTCATTGCTCCCATGAATAGATCCTCTTCCTAGCGCCCGGAATGTAGTTACTCTGACAGCTGGTAGCTAACCACACTGCCGGTACTTGCATATCACCGTGCAACTGGCTTCTAACAATAACTCTCAGCATGTAACCGGGCCCTGTGTGTACTCATACACCACACAGTTGAAATGGCTCCGTTACACCAGTGCCAGCTCAGATACATGCCAGCTCCAGTGCCCGCTTCTCTGCAAGCTCCAGTGCCCGCTTCTCTGCAAGCTCCAGTGCCCGCTTCGCTTCCAGCTCCAGTGCCAGCTCTGATACCCGCTCCGGTGGCAGCTCCAGTACCCGCTCCGGTGCCCGCTCTTGTGCCCACCCCTGTTCCCGCTCGTGTTCCTGCTCGTGTTCCCGCTCTTGAGTCCGCTCCGGTGACTGCTCGAATGACTACTCCAGCGTTCACCTCGATGCCAGCTCCTGTGCCAGCTCCAATGCCGGCTCCAATGCCCCTTCCGGTGCCCGCTCCACTATATGCCAGCTCCGATGCCAGCTCCATTGCCAGCTCCAGTACCGGCTCCAGTGCCAGCTCTGATATATTTCAGCTCCCTTCACCGTTCCTCCACCGCACTGGCACCTCCTCTCCCCCTCTTACTGGTCTTCCCTCTCCCTCTTCGTACCCCCCGCCAACTACTGTTCGTCTCACTCGCCTATTTTACTCACATTTGACTACTAAATAGCTATATTTATTATTTAATCATAAAGGGTTCCGTTGGTTGGGCTGGTCTCATGGGTAAGGTCAAGGTTAGGGTGTGGGCTTGGCAGGAAAATAGGCAGGGTACCGGCCCTGAGCAGGCAGGGTAACGCCCAAAAAAGGTAGGGTAATGCACAAAAAAGGTAGGGTAACGGCTCAGAGCAGGCAGGGTAACCGTACTAATCGGGTAGAGTAACCATCTCAAAATAGGCAGGGTAACTGAACAAAATCGGGCAGGGTAACTGCACCAAAGATATGAATTTGATGTGTCGTGCTTACTAAATATCCCTGTCACTATCAACCAATCAGATTGCAGCAATCTCAGAAGAATTATATTCCAGTACATATTAGAAGATATGCACGGTATAACATGCATGTATTGAGATCATGCATGTATATAACCCGCCCCACGGAACCCAGGGAGCTACATACATGCACGGTATAACATATACCTATTCTATCTCTCTTCCTTACTTTTGATCTTTCCCTCGCTTAAGTGCTATACTGCACTCTGATCTACCTCACATAATTACGTTACCCAAAACAATACCAGCGCCCACTCGCTCGCGTTCGAGATCTTTAACCTCCTCAAAGCACACTTTGGCCATCTCAGTAACCCCCCAGACGTAAATGTCGTACCCGTCGAGGACATTGTCCACTGCGTCTGGGAACCCCTCGTCGACTGCGCTGCCGAGCACTCAGAGACACAGAACAAGCTAGCCGAGTTTATCCCCTGCTTCCTGAGCGAGCTCACCAACAACGGCTACGAGGAGGCTGCCGCCCCGCAGATTGTGAACCTCATGTGGTTCATGATGGACGACGCTAGAGGTTTGTCCCCCCCCCCCCCCCACCACCCCCAAGCTGTAGAGTTCAAGATGCGTGATACTGACACCACCTCCACCAACCATATATAGGCGGCCCCTGCGAGCTCGACACTCCCTGCGACATGGCCGTGGAGGGACACATGTACTGCTTCCTAGCAGAGCCCAAGCCGTTCGACGGCACCCCCGCCCAGAAGCGCGCCTTCTGGGCAAGCTACTGCCGCTTCTGCGCGCTCCTCGAGAAGGCCGGGACCGTGGACCTCAGCAAGGTACTCACCCAGGTGTCCGAGGGCGTCCTCTGGGGCGAGTCGGGCCCGAGACACAACCCGGACGCGGGGATGCTTGCCTTTGAGCAGGTGTTTGCCGTCTGCGGCGAGCTGCTGTGGGAGAGGGGCGGCCAGTGGAACCCCGACGGGGACCACGAACACGGCCCGGCGTTGACAAAGCGCTGGAAGGAGTATGAGTGGACCGTCAGGAAGGTGATGAACGATGAGGGGAGGGATGCGGAGGTCAAGGCACCGGCAGGGAGGGTCCTGGAGATGATGAAGGCGGTCAGGTTGGCGAAGAGGAAGGAAGAGGAGGACCAAGTAGTAGGGGGTAGATGGAGAGGGTGTGAATTTGGTACAAAGGTTCGAGCTCACATTTATTATCCGCCGCTCCTTGTAGGCAGACATATTGTATCCTATTGATAATGACCATGTGCCTGTTGCGCAGTTCCTGGAGTTTAATATCACACTTTTGAGCACCTGTTCGAGTCACAGGAGACGTCTTGTCGTAAAGAGCCTGTATCTAGACAACTATCTGTAGAGTATGCGAAACGTCACTAGTATAAAGGCACCGCACCCATACCAACGCGCCAAACCATCTTTATCCACTTAGTGACAATTTCTCCCATACCTTTACCGCCAAATCTCAAGGGCCGCATGGGCATTTTTCCAAGCCATACCAAGCTCCTACTGAACGATCCTCAGATATGCAGCTTCCCCCGGCCTGGCCGGTATTTGGAAAAGGTCAACCACTCATATTTTCCCGACAGACTCATCTAGTTCTGGCGCTTGAGGGTTCAATTCATTACCGCGTCTTAACCCTCCCAACCCCCGACAATAAAAGTGTCAAGCTCTGGGTTGCGGATTAATCGATAACTGCAAGATACCAACACCCATTAGCATGAGGCGGGCCAGAATTTTCGCATAGCCAGCCCTAACCCCTAGCGGCTCTTGGCGGGGTAATGATCGGGTGGCATGTTTTACCTTCTTGGACCGTAATTCCTGAGCTTAGGTTCGAGTCAAAATCGTTACGCCTCCGGCAAGATCGGGCAGGAAACTAAGCTCAACAGAGCGGGTGTAAGGGAGTTTGGAATTCTGTAGACTTTGAAGAGGTTCGTTTAATCGATTGTTTCTGCAGGGTCAGGGTCAGGGTTAGGTGAACATTGACTGGGTTTAGGGGTTTCCTCAGCGTTCGTAGGATTTCATGATTACATGTAAGTACATGTAGTTGTCCCCACGCCGTTAGAGAGGTTTTGCAGCTGGAGTATGTAAACATTAAGACACCAAATTCAAATTCCTGTAAGAGGGAGGACACATGTATCCTTGTGGTCTTGGCGGCTACGAGTTTAAGGCTAAATATGTAATTACTTGTACCCGATAGGAAGTTGATCGCCAGAAGTCAGATTACCGCGGTTTGGCGTACATGTACCGGGTGTTCACCTTTAGTCTGAAGAACTCTGCTTCATTGGTTGAAAATGCAGGGATTTTATAGAGAGCAACCAATTATCATCAATCACACTGGCCTTAGCGCACCAAATTTGTATGGGGGGAAAAAAGTCTGAAGAACTTTCATATATATTCACTCAAAAATCTAAATATTTTGCTAAAAATACAAAAAAATAACTGCAGAATAGCGCTGGCTCCCAGCTTCCCCTAGACAATATTCTGAGCTCATAAGCCCTTGTGGGGAGTGTTTTCTGATGAAGCTGGGTGCAAACAGCACTCAAATTGCGGTCTCGGAGGTTGCGTTGCAAAAGATGGGGCGCAGCCTATTCAAGTACTTTTTCTGGCGCCAAGTATCACTTTCTGCAGCTTCAACCAATCATACGCCAAAAAAGGGTTCTTCAGACTAACCCATAACCCCCGTACATACATCGTACATGCAGCTTTGTGGCCCAGCACGAAGAGTGACTCAACGAACTACATCATATGTAGGTACATCGCTCCGCTATATAAATCAACAGACCTACAAGAGACCCCTCACTACATTGCCTGAACTGGTTTATAACAAGCAATTAAACGTAACTGCAAGACTTCAAGAGATATATCTTTCGTGATGCTTCTTCAGCTTCCTACAGAACTGGTTGAGAAATGTGTCGAATTCGTATGTGCTCCTACTGGGCGTTTTGCAATCTAGAACGCACCCCACGACCTGCAGAAATGTATCATGGATATTCTCTAAGCACTGATCTACCTGTCAACAACGTCTTAGGCCGTCTTCCCTATCAACCCGAACAATACCAAAACACTGCTATCTCTCCTCCTCACCTGCCGCGCACTCTACAAGCTCACCATCCCTTGTCTCTACGACTCCCATATCCTGTATATCAACCGGAACCTCTACACTAGGTCCGCCGAAAGCAGGGACTACCGCTCCAACCTCTACCCGCATCACCCGCCGCCCTCCTTCGTCCGCCCTACCGCACTCCACACCCTACTCGTACTCCCGCGCAATCAGGGCAGGAGCTCGAGCCCAACGCCGGAGGGTTATAACCCCTCGTTCCCTTCAAATGCACTCATTAGTATCTTCAACCAACTTACCGCACTGAAGACCCTTGTCTATACCCCCAAACCCTGCCCGTGGGGGCTCGTTGCGTCAATCAACGCCCTGCCGCTAACATCTCTAACATGCAAGTTCGACTGCAATCTACTGGGCGACATTTCTATCGAGCGCTCTAGCTGGAGGCTCCGAAGTCTTACGCTAAGTGAGGTCGACACCTGCCCCCCAAAACTCAGATCCTTTCTTGGAACATATGCGGCAACCTTAGTAGAGCTATCAATGAGCTTCAAGAAGAATGGGCTGCCGTATACATACACTGCAGCGCTACCAAAGCTACCAAAGCTGCGGTGCCTAAGATTGCTGTCGTATGATCCCTCGGTACTGAGGGCTTTGCAGGGCTCGGTGGATTTTGGGAGGTTAGAGATTCTGCAGCTGGTTGGTCGGAGGGTGACAAGCGTGGTGTCGGATTCACTGAAGGAAGGGGGGGGTTTGTCGATGTTGAGAAAACTGAGTGTTCAGATGCTTCCGGGGGTGCTAGTGGCAGTCCTGGAGATGTGTACGGTGGCGCTAGAGGAACTGCATGTGGTATGGATAGACGATGAGGAAAGTACAGGGATGACGGCAGCAGTGGCGGAGGTGATGGCGAGGAGGTGTAAGGGCCTCAAGGCGGTGAGCTTGGATCTGGGAGGTAGTTTTCAGAGGATGTGGGGGGGATGTGAGATGGCAATGAAGGGGGAGGACTTGGAGGTTGTGGCCCGGGGGTGTACCGGGATAGAAGATCTATACCTGTCTGTGGATATGCATGTTTTTGTAAGTGCACTACTTCGCAGCGAACAGATATGTGAGCTCTGTTCACGAGGACATTATATCCCTCAGCATCAACCAGACGAAAAGAATTCCCTACAGCTAATCCCCGCATCCTCACTGGACCATCCCATCGATAACAAACAGCACCATATCTGCCTACTCCAACCCCTGGCTATGTAAAACCCAAGCTAACCCCCCCCCCCCCCCCCAAACCTCCTAGGCCTCTACCATCGACTCCCTCCCCTTATTCTCAGCCCTCCGCCACCTTTACCTCAAACTCCACGACTCCCCCGAAAGCAGTGAGTACGACAGCATCTACCACCTCTTCCCCCTCGTCTCGCACCCATATCACTTCGACCCACCACTCGTCCAAGACATCCCGGAAGACAAGATCGCCGCGACAGCATGGGCGCTCGATCAAGTTGTGGCTAAGCAGCGCCTAGACTTTGTCTCGGTGGTCGTCCAGGAAGATCAGCAAGAGTGGATGAAAGCGGAGGTATGTTGCTCCTTATTTTTTTTTTTTTTTTCCTTTGCTCCATGCCGTGTGGGACTGTGATAGGGAGTGGTCGGTGGTTTGGTTGGTTAGATCTCTGCTGATGGAAGGGTAGTGGGTCAAGCCAGGACTCGAACTTAAGCTTGCGGGGAAGGATTTGCACCTGAGCGAGCTAAGGAGATGCATGCCCTGGTTTCCGGTCGCAGGGATCGGTAGGTGGAACACGGCGTTCGAGCCAGTATGTTTTGGACATTGCAGGGAGAGCACGGGGGTATTGATTTATGGGAATTTGATGGAGGGCGGTGCTTGACTACCACAGGACCTGTTGTTGTCCGATTTAGATAGCCAGAGAGCCTTTCGGGAGGTATCTTAGGGATAGTATTTTAAGGGGATGCCCCTAACAATGAATGTTCTTCTCTAAACGTTGGAGGTTTTATAAGGATGGATGATGGCCGGAGAGATGCATTGTTGTGTCAGAGATAGAGTACCACGGAGGGTGTAGTAGCATTTGTATCGTATGCCCAGGCAAGCCCACCAATTCTTCATAGGGTGACGGATATATCAATGATACAGACGAGATATAAAACCATTATACCAACTCTAATCCTGCAAGCTCCTTGAACATCTCAGAGCCATGAAGGCAAAAGGCATCTCTAACAGTGGCCAGCTATAATACTTGCTTGCCCCATGCAACAACCCAGCCGCATTAAAAATGGACAGTAGTTGTAATACCTACCACATCTTTGGCCGTCGGCAGGCATGAGTGGTGTACCCCATACTTCACTGCTCGTGAGTGGGGTTTCTCCTGCCTTAAACGTCCTTGAAGGGCGTGCACACATCGCTGTGGTAAAACTTGCTCATGAAACATCACCCGACTAGCTGGACTTAATTATGGGCTCCGTTGCTCCAATTCGACGGCCCTTTATACTGATCGCCTAAGAATTTAATGAAAAATCAACCAATAGCAGTTTTCCGAGATACGGCTATGATCACCATGAGGGTCGGGCTCTCAATGCCGAGATGTCTCAAAAACACTCCCCGTCACTTGTAGGCCGGATCTATAGATTCGGTGAGATGTGGGAATATCTAGGATCTTTCTAGTACTGCCGTTCACGGGGTATTGACGGACTGATCCTTATCGATAAGCTTACTTGATAGGACTAGAGTATGCCACCCGGACGGGCCGGACCGTAATATTACAGGTGCATAAATAACTACATACATGTATCGCCGCCTTGGCATGCAAGGACGACAGGCCGAGCGCTTTATGGGGAAACACCTACATGAATGGATGGATTTGATCTGGAGTCTCACAGAGCGTCCAGAAGTACAATATTCCACGTGACTGCTAGTGTGTGTGTATTGCTGGCGATACAGCAAGGCTGCCTAATTAATGTCGCCCTGCGCGCTATATATATAGCTATTCCTTCAATATTAATCAAGCTAAAGGAGTACGAGTTTAACCCCATAATATATCCTCAGCTGAGAATTACACGTGCCGCGCGCGCACCCAGGCCTTCAAAATTCGAGAAGTTAAAGAGAGAGGTCTGAGATGGATATAGCTGGCCTCACTATCGCAGTCTACCACGAGGTATTCAATGTCTGCGTCTTCATCACCCAAACCATCATCGACGCCAGGAACCACGAGCAGGACTTTGGCGAGCTCGAGATCAAGTTCACCTACCACCACACAATCCTCCAGACCTTCGGGAAGCGCTTCATCCAGGGCAAGATCATATATAAGCTTGAAGACAGTGTGGTCGTGCAGATCAGCCAGATCCTGCAGCAGCTGAAAAAGGTGGTGGTGGCCTACCAGGTCGTGTCCGAGAAATATAGCGAGAGTCACAGAAAGAGCAGAACCGGATCCCCCTGGTGGAAGCGTCATGGCGGAGCGGACCGAGAGAAGCTGCGAGCCGAGGCGACCACAGCTGTGCTGTTGCGGCCGGGGAACACTGGCGGGAGTGCGATTAGCTCAGCCATGGCTTCGAAAAATCGCAGAGGGTTTCGAAGCCGCTTCGCACGAAAGAGGACACAGCTCGAGTGGGCGCTTTTTGATCGCCAGAAGTTGGAAAGCATCGCCGACGAGCACAAGCAATGGACGGACAAGCTGGTGGACATTATGAAGATGGCATTTCTTTTCTACTTATCCGGTGACGTTGTACAGACCGACGAGCTCGTGGACAGCGGTGATGCCCAGGCCTTGGGCTTCTCGAGCCTCACCTCGCGGCGGTTGTTGATTCTGGACCCGAGTCGGGGACACCAAGCCAATATCATTGACCCCAAGGAGATCGTCCTGAGTCGCTCGAAATCGACACCATCGACAACGTCTACCTCTATCTCCGCTTCCTCCTCGCAAAAGGGACAAGCCAGATATGCCTGCGGTACACTGAACATGCAGAAATGCTTGGTCGAATACAAACAGTACCCGGAATTCGGCAATGCCAAGATGAATCTTGATATCACACAATCACGGATTAGCTTCTTATCCCAGCTCCTCGGCGTATCCACAGACGCGGATGATAACAGAGCTACCCCATACGCGCCGTCCAATCTTCCGACCAGCCTCCACTGTATAGGCTGGTTCCATGAGCCTGACAAGTCACGATACGGCCTCGCATTCCAGATCCCAACTGGCTACGACGAAACGCCCATGACCCTACAATCCGCAATCAGCTCACTTAAAGCTGAGGCCCGTCCGACCCTTGGACAACGGTTTGATATCGCCTATACGATTGGGTACGCGCTCCTGGAGTGGCACCTCGTCGATTGGGTTCACAAAGGGATCAGCAGTGACAATATTTATCTCCTTCGTCGCTCCAGCCAGACGCAGTGGGACTTCTCGCTGGCCCGTCTTGGGGGGTTCGAGTATGCAAGGCCCTCGAGGGATGGGTCAAATGAGGCCTATACCACTGTGGACTTCAACACGAAGGTCTACCGCCACCCCGCGCGGCAGGGCGATCCGTCAGAGGGCTTCAACAAGAACCATGACATCTATTCCTTCGGCGTTCTGCTCCTGCAGATTGGGCTGTGGTCGTTAGTGCGTGAGTGGTTCTCGGATGTGCGGCAGACGCCAGACGCGATTAGGGCGACGTTGATGAAGAATGCGCGCACAAGGCTGGGTCATTACATGGGTCAGAAATATATGGATGCCGTGTTGTTCTGCCTAGAGGGAGCTTCGAGGGTGGAAGGGGATGATGTGAAACAGACAAGGCTGATGACCGCGTTTAAGCAGAATGTGATTGATGTCTTGGAGAAAGGACGGGTGAACCTATGATTTATCTAGCCCAAGGGTGTGCTAAAGTGTGAAATGGGGTTCTGAGGTGGTTGGGGTTCGAGGTAGAATTAAATCCCCTGGAGATTGACAGGATCTATATGTTATCAGTGGTACTACATATACTGACATGTAAGAGCATGTTTTCCTTACTGCGGAATGTAACAAAAAAGTAGGTCTCAAACGATGGATTGAGCAACAATTCTTCTTTAAAAGTTAATTTGCAAAAATTTCTAATGCTCATGTGTCAAACTTAACCATACAATTAATGAGTTAAACAAAAAAATAAAAAATATCAAACTTAACCCGCCTTCCACCCTGGCTTATTGCTCATGTACTATCGGCACCATAAGACCACAAATATGAAAGATTGAAAGAAAAATGATAGGCTAGTCCCCACTCATATGCAACCCTAAAACTGATATGACCCCTATATAACTTTGATTTCATAATTTCACCTGAAACAACAAGTAAGAAGACCGCCTACTCTTCTCAGCACTCCCTTCCCTTCCTCCTTTTTGATCTGTCCCTTCCAATTTGAATTCTCCGTAGTTTCTGTTTCCATGCTATTCGGATCTGGCTTCTCTGTGATATCTTGTGTGGTCGGTGGCGACGGCTGGGCTGGTGCCGTGTCGTCATCTCCTTCGCTTTCGTTTTCTTCGACAGTCATAGACAATCTAGTTAAAGGTTAGTATACTCAAACGTTCCATATTCCATGACATCAGGAAGGCTTACTCCGGGATGGGGGTAGATTTGTCGTCATAATAGACGACCACCTGCGCAGAGTCGACGTATATAACATGTGAAGCGTCCTCTTTCGACTTCACATATATATCCAAGACATCTCCTGGCCTGAGGTTGCCGATAAGGTCAGAGACTGCCGGGATGGTGCTACTTGGGTCCCAGATAATGCACTTGGTGCGTTCAGTTAGGCGGCCACAGAACATCCCCGTGGCAGGTACTATATGATGAGGATGGGGGCCGAGAGAGCCTAAACCTTCAGATCGCACTCCAACTTCAAGCCATGGATATTTCCCTTCGTCGAGCTTCTCAGGATCCACCACCGGCAGCCACCAAGGCACGTTGTTGTGGGATTTGATTCTAAACACGACACGCTGGACCTTCATCTCCATTCCCGGCCAAGGCTCAATACCGACCTGAAGATAAGGAGACCCGGCTACCTTTCCTGATACCGGTGTTCTTTTGTGTTTCTCCGTGAGTGTTGCCGGCCAGTACTCTGCGTAATCTAGAATCTTGTTAACCATCTCAGCCAATGATTCGGCACCGGGTGGTCGATATCTCCTTGACATCTGAAATCGCTGTACCAAGAGCGACCGAGCATCCGTAAGGTTTGGATGAGAAACGTGAACAATCCTCGAATTCCATTGATCTAGCTCGGTGTTGTCTCGCTCACCCCAATCACGAAGCATCTGGCCGATCCTGCTTTGTTCCGTCGTGCCCGCAGAGTTTAGAGCGGTAACCCCACCACTATTGGCTTTACCCGAGTGTTCCTCAAGCTGGGGAAGGGCCCCTTTTCTCAATAATAGCTCGACCTGTTCTTCGTTCCCTTTCTTTACTGCTAAAGATAACGCACTTTGTTTTTGGCTGCCCGAATCTCCCGTGAAATTCGGGCTTGCTCCACGGTCTAGCAATAGTCGGATCATATCAAGATCATCATTCCATGCTACAGCTGCCTGTAGAGCGCTTCCGTGAGGCCCCCCACCAATGTTCACAGGAGCTCCAGCGTCGAGGAGACATTTAACCAGTGCAGTATCCATCGTGCAGGCCGCCGCCTGTAAGACACTACCGTATTCCCCACCGGACACAGTCACATCCGCTCCCTTCTCCAATAGGATTTGAACCGTCTTTCTTTGCCCTCTCCACATTCGGTGCATCTCGGGATCTATAGCTGCTTGAAGCGCCGTCAAATACGGCCCCTCTCGAATATTCGGATTTGCGCCGCTGGCCAGCAGGGACATGAGGATTTTCGTATTGGCGTAATGGGCAGCGTACATCAGCGAGTTTCCAACATGAAGCCTTTTCCCAGAGGTATTCGGATTTGCGCCCATTTTGAGGAACAAGTCAACAAACTCAGCAGCATTAGCATATACCGCAGCTTCGAGGCAGACCTCATGCCCCTCGACCTGTTTCAGAGGATTGGCCCCGTGTTCAACTAGCAACTTTGCTATCTCAAAGTGACCTTTTACCACTGCCTCGGCAAGGGCGATTCGGCGGCTTTCTTCACCCTCGCTCTCTGTATCCACGTCGGCCCCACCGTCGAGGAGGATTTTAACAATTCCTATATTTCCAGTCTTTACCGCGTAAAGCAAGGGCATGTCACCCCCAGAATCCCCTGGTAATTCAAGCCGAGCTCCACCGTCCAGGAGAATCTGGACGATGTCGGGATTGCGTTCGTCGATTGCGTTGATCAAAGGGCTTCCGTGGCGTTTCAAGACTTCATTGACGTCCGCACCCATCGCTATCAGCTTCTTCACGGCCTCGGGGTCGTTTTCTCTAACTGCGGCATGAAGGTGCCCTCCATGTACGCCTGATGAGGAGGAGATATCCTGTTCTCCGGCCCGCGGGGCTACAGCTCGCGTGGCTGGTAACCGCCCTAGCTGCTGTTGATATGAAGGACAGCTACTCTGAACCACGGGCGAACGATACTTCTCCATGGGAGAGTAAACCCACCCACTCCAAGTCTTTCTGTAGGCACTGTATAGCGCAGGCCCGGAAGGCCTTCCCCCATCATTTCTAGAAACTTGGCCTGGTCTGTAATCCATGCTCAACCAATCAGGGCGACCTGGGAAGAAGTCTTGGATCGATTCCAGTGTTGAACCGAGATCCAATAATACCTGTATTGCCTCTGTATTATTCGATAATACAGCCCATCCCAACGGTGTTCCCACTGGCCAGGCGAACGGATAGTGAAACGCTTCGACATTTGCGCCTGACAATTGGCCCAAAACCGATTTGTTTACTGCGAGGAGTGTAGCGGTATTTTGAATATGAGCTTTTTCGAATACGAATAGCCAGTGGAGGGGTACAGTTCCAAACCGTTCGCTCTTGATAGTTGGATCGGCCCCATGCTTGATCAGGCAACAAACAGCTTTATAGGCACCGGCCATACAGGCCATATGAAGAGCGGTATCACCAATTCCGGTGTTTGAATCGACTGGGTGGTCCTGAACTAGTAGACTTTCGATTTTGATAGCATCGTCCAGAATGGCGGCGTGATGCAGGGGATGATGCGCCGACAACCAAGCCAAAGGATCATCAAGAAGACCCGAGGAACTGTAGACTGCTCTCACCTTTCCATGAGAGTCAGGAGAGATGTAATGCGTGTTATACCCCCCAGAGCTTCGAAAATGCCGAAGCGCGGACTCGTGCTCATCGGGGCTCTCAGAAGCCAGTTTCCATGCGAGAAGATAGCCGGTAGACACCGCATTCCATTGCCACTTGCGATCGTTGATCCGTACCAACTTGAGCAACTTGCTACGCGTGCCATCTAGTATTGCTGAGGCCACCGCCTGAGCAGGAAGGTAACCTTTGACGGCGGCAATGGCCGCACATGACCCCCGTTTCCGACGCTGAAGTATTATCCTGTCGGTGAAGCATAGTCCCAAGAGCTGAGCCCCCGTCAAATCATCCCCCACGATTTCTCCCTTCAGGTGTTCTTCTTGACTGCGATTGTTGGTAAACTCATCGATTCTACCCATGTATAGTCCCACTATTCGGTCATAAGCGTGTCGTGGGCACTGGTTGAGAAATCTGTGGATTCGTTGCCAACCGGGGAAAATTGGATACTTCTCGTTTATTGGTTCGTACTGCGGCGGAAGTGCGAATCCATCTTGGGTAGAGGCACCTCCGAGCATCATGGTAAAGCCCCCCAACCCGTGTAGCTCTCCCCACGGGGTGTTATCGTTAAACCGACCATTTATCCTATATATCTCAATTAGTAAATATAACCTCCCTCCAAGACCTAGCCGTATCCAGAGTTATCAAAGGTATATATATACCAAAAGCCCCTCTTGTCGAAAACCGACTCCTCCACATGCCTCAGCAAGTCACAGATCTTCTCCAGATCTGACGGTCGATCCGACGGTTTTGATTGCAGTAAAGATTCCAAAACGACGGAGAAGCGATCGATTGCCGTTCTCGGGATTCTTGGCCGGGATAGTGAGCGTTTAGCCAGCTCAAAGGTGAATCTCCCATGAGGGCCTGGTCCTCTCGGTAGTACGCCAAAATTGAAGATCGTACTGAAAACCACCATACCCAGGGAGAAATAGTCACACTTGACCAGCATGTCGGCAGTGATGCCCTCGTCGCTCGGGAGCTCGGGGGCCTGCCATCCGGGGGTCCCGATATTGAATACCTTTTCCGTCCGATCCGTCACTGACAGCCCAAAGTCGGAGAGCTTTGCGATGCAGAAGAAAGGGCCAACATCGTCGGGGAATACGAGGATATTGTCAGGTTTAAGATCGCCATGGATCACGCTGGATGAATGAAGCGCCGAGAGCCCTCGAGTGATGTCGAGGGCAAGTTCCCGCAACACCTGCCATGGAATGGCCCCCTTAAGGTTATAGTTATCCTTTGCCAGAAAGTCGCTCAAGGAACAGTTCCCATGCTCCAAAACGAGAAAGATATTAAGCGGCTCCACATTCTCATAGTGATTCAAAGAATGTTCTATCCCCCACGCAAGCAGCCTGACGATATTACGGTGGTTACGTATGGACTCGTTGCAGAGAGTCAGAATCTCAAGCTCTAGAGCATAGAGCTGACTCGGCGTTCCGAAGCCGACCCTCCGCGCCTGCCCCTCCTGATCTGCATATGCATCCTTCCCCCAGCCCAGCTTGAACACCGGGCGCTTTATGGCCACAATGACCTGATTCCGGCTAGAAGACCGCTTATTCGCCGGTGCGCCCATGAACGGCTGATCAAACGGCGGGAAAGAGTCGAGGGTGCCGTGCTTGTGGCCATAGACGCTGAACTGCGCACCGGAGCCCAAGTGCCGTCCATTGAAATGGATACCGCGCTGCTGGTGCGGGCCATCAATCTTGTTCCGGACCATGTGCTCGATGAGGCGTGAAAGGGTGCTCTCCTGGTCGTCCGTGCTCCACGACACGGGGTGGGAAGTGGTACTCTTGCTCACTAGGGGGGCGCCTGAGCTGACATACTCCCGCCTTCTGCGCTCGATGGAGGGGTCGAGGGAGCTTGATTTCGTGTGGTCTGTTGCGGAAGATGCGATGGAAAAGTTACGTATAAGCGAATCCATCTGCGGTTTGCGCAAGCTTCATGGAACTATCTAGGAGGTTTGTAGCGGAGAGCGAGAGTGGTTGTTGATTGATGTAGACACTGCACTGCACTGTACTGATGATATGAGACGTGATGAGAGAGAGCTATGTGGCTAGCAGGTACATACGTCGAGTCAGCTATGTACATACGTATACAGCCGAAACCAGCCCAGTCCGGCGGCCAGTTAGATCTATGAGATTCCCATATGCATTGCGTCTATGCGTGGTTGGCGCTTTTGCCTTGGCCAGGGCCGGGAGTGAAGGCGGCAAGCAGGACCGATCCAATGAGTGGATATATTTGCAATTGGGGCTGAGACAAACTCAGTGCAACATACACATGCATGATCATTGTAACAGTAGTAATTCTGCGGAGTAAACACCGTCTCTAGCGCAGGTGGTAACAAACTCTTGTGTAGGGCTTGATTTTAGATACATGTACATATATATTCCCATCTATCATTGCAGCTGTCCCCCTCACTCCTCACTCTACTGCATTCCATACGAGGCAGCACTCTCACATATCATAGAAACCCTAACCTCACCACCAATCGACATCCCCCGCGCTTATTCATATCCCTGGTAGCCCTAACCCTGACATGATCAAAAACAGGCCCTTCGATCATTGCCTGTGTCAAGCCACTAAGGATTAGGGTTCGGCCCCACAATACATGTACTTGTATACATATACCACGCTACCAGTGGCAGGCCTGGTCCCATTAAGTGTACACAGCACAATAGATACATTGCAATCTCTGCTACTCCCTATTCGTTCATTCTCCCATCGAGTCTTCCCGCTCTTGCTAGCGACATCCACTCTGTCAACGACAAAACGGCTAACGTCAGCCAAAGACTTGCTGGCCAACTCAGCTGAAGGACGGAGCGAGATCTAGAACGGAAGAAAAAAACAACTGCTGTCTCCACAGCCACAACGGCCTAACGCCTCATCACTACGCCGGGGCACCCGCCTTCTACCTGATGAGCAAGCTCAGACATGGGCGGACCTGGATGGATGGGGATAAAACTTCTACTTGCGGGTGCTGACACCGTGGTCTCGAAGCATTGATCTGTATACTGTGAAGAATATACTTTCTACTACATACCTCGGCCGCCACGGCTCGTCCGGCAGGTATTCAAAGAGTGGGGCCATGTATGCGCATTGTAGCTATATACACACTCTGAAGGAAGACGGTGCACTCACCGGCCCGCGATCGGTGATGTGATGGCGGTGTATATATGTATATATGGCTGTATGTATGTAAACCCATATGGAGCAAGAGCATTCCATATACAAGTATGTGTGTATGTATGTGTAAACTTCCATGGCGTAAAATCACATTCCCACATATCCCCCGTACATGTAACATTCATCACGATAGTTGATATAATGCTCTGTGTGAAGCGAGCCAAAAATAATTCCCATCGGCCGCCCTTCCATCCGGCAAGCACTAAAACCATATCGTATTGGCCAACACGCATGAAGCCGTATATATTCTTATAGTAGATACATGAAGTAGATATCCATACTTACATGTATACTACCCCTAGAGTACTACGTGTCAGCCGGACGAGCGCACGTGTACCACAGTATCTACAAGCAGGGATACACCAAGAAGACGCAGCTTCGACCCAGCACCCATGTTTCACTGCGTTAGGCTGCTCCCTCCCGTACCGTTGTTCAGTATCCGATCTCGGTGCGTCGCAACATGGTACGCGCGCACATGATTAGATTAATTTTACATAGACCTATGTCCCCTGCAGCGTCTACCTCGACACCGATCGAAAGCTTGATCAAACGACGACACGCATCCGGCGCCTGTTGTGGTACATGTATGATGTGCATGTGGCTATTTTACATGTAGATTATCTATACGGTGGCTGATGAACGTTTAATTGGAGAGCTGAAGTAATATAATCCATATGCGTCCATACTATATGTGTATATATATATATATATACATACTCTCATAATGACTTGAAGGTTTCATAATAATTAAGGGCCCGATATTAATTCTCTGTGTCGCTCTTGTGCCTTTCTACACCATCTGCTACTCTCCGCCTGGCCGGGACGGCCACTAGGGCCATATATAGACATAGATGCACATTCATATCATTATCTACGCACGAGGGTGTATTCATATAAGCAATGGGTATATTGGTAAAGTCTCACGATACGCTCAATGTGATAGAAAAACAGCTACAAGTATGTACTACATCGATCATGCATAGATCTACGTATCTACGCATATGGTGTAGTTTATGTCCATTCTTAACCGTTCCCCAATTGATTCAATGCATTCAACTTGTATTTACATGTGGTTCTGCTTTGTGAAAACATCTAGCTTTCCTTGATTTTCCTAGACCTCATCTAATTATAATACCATGAAGCCCTTCTAATAAAACCGCATATATTCGTACGGTTAATGGTAACAGCACATGTACCTCCTTTCCGCGATTGATTCACCCAACTTATCCCCGGGATCCGGGAACTACATGGTGCATGTTTCAATCTTGTAATACTCGATCCGCCGTTTCAACTGATACTTCTCATTAACGGGATCGATGTTTTAAACTTCCCCCTTCTATATATATACATGCTAATACACTCCCTCATGCAGACATCCTCAGGTTTATACTACACGGCGAAGCTGTCGTAGTCCTCTTCAAAGCACAAAACGGCTGTAACCAATCCCCTCAGCCAGGTGGTGGCCATCATGTCAGGAGACAATCCGGCCGGACGTGCGCCAGGGACATCTGCATAGCGTATTTGCGCTGTGCTGGTGGAGGCTGAGAGCTTTTCGGGGGTCTTATGTGCTGGAACAGGATTCGGGAAGACTAAAAGCTGACTACACGTAATAAGTCTGTTTTCCCGTCAATGAAAAGTTCCATTGTTCATTTTCTTTCGGGAAATTCGTTATTTCCTTCCGGAAATTCTTTATGTATTTTATTTTTCTTTATTCCTTTATAAATTTCCTTTCATGCAGTTTGATTTTCCGGATATTTCGCAAAAGAGCTGCATAATTTCACTTTCCGGAACTCTCTCTAGTATTCTGATATGATGGAAAGGTTTCACAACTATAAATAGAGAGCCAAAGTGGAAAATAAAATAAAAATCATCCGCCATAATATTAATAAATACAAGTGCCTTGTCACGTCATCAAATTGCACCCACCTTGACATTTTGTACACCCTCAATCTCAATCATGATATATACCGCTCGACCATCCCTATTCCTCCATCTATTCTGCAGGCAGCTAAGTATTCTCTTCTCATTCATTATCATCATCAGCAGGCTCTGATATATACACTCTTTTTTTTTCTTTCTTTTTTCTACACACCTGATCACCACACATTCATTCCCTTATTTCATTATCAAGTACCGGTTACTATATCATTTTATCTTACCAACACTCATTTCCCAAGCCATGAAGTTCACCACATCCTCCTCCTCATTCCTCTCTCTCCTCCCCACCCTCCTCCTCCTCCTCGACCCCTCCAGCGCCCTCGTCCTCTCCAAACGCGCCAACACCCCCCTCCTCTCCAGCATCGGCTCCGCCAACACCAGGCCCCAAGACTCCTCCAGGTCTGCCCCCAAATACACCATCGAGGTCCCCCGAGTCTCGCAGGCATGGTGCGGCCACACTCCCCCCGCCGACAACTTCACCCCCCGCCCCATGGCACTGCCCACCGACGCCGTCAAGCACCCGGGCTCCCTCCACTTCACCGACGCCATGATTCGCAACACCCTCGAAAAGGCCGCAGCGGTGGCGGTTAATGGCCAGGCCTTACAGTTCGGTTTCAACAAGTACCCGCGCACGTTCAAGAACGAGAACCGCGCGGACTGGTTGCCGCGCGGGCCGATGATCGCCGGTGCGCCGGGCGAGCTGTACGAGTTTCCGATCATGCCGAGTGGGGATCCGCCGGCGGTGGTGAGTGTTTCTTCTTTTTTCTCCTTCCTCTCTGTTTTCCCCCGGCCGAGGTGTGACTTGGGTTGTGTACTGACGTGGTGTGCGGGGTGCGGCAGACCGCGGGGGTGCAGGCGCCGGCGGGGAAGCAGGGCCCGTTTAGGGTGATTTACTCTGTTTCGGGCGAGAACCCGAAGGTGTTTAAGTTCTACGGCGTGGTAGGTTATATCTGGCTCCTTTATTCTCCCTCCCTTTCCGAAAGCCCGCCACTCCCGCCACATGATGCTAACTTGACACCTCTAGACCGAGCACCCTCCGCACTCGCCCAGAGACACCATCCTCTGCCCAAGCAACAAGCAGCCTGTCCCCTCCAAAGGAAACCCAAGCCAGAAGCCCATGCCCAACAAGCAGCAGAACGACGCCGCAAAGAAAAGCGCCCAACGGATCGCCGCCCAGAAGGCAGAAGCATCCAATTGGAGCGTCAAGCGACAGGTGAAGCGCAGGCCCGGGCAGGCATTGGACTAGAGCGCGATCGAGGGGAAGACGAAGGTGGTGGTGGACGATCACCCGACTGATATTTGAAGCGGGGGGGGGGGGGGCGGGGGGAGGATGTGTGAGGTCGAGAAACAGACTGGGAAAGGAATCGATAGAGTGGTGGAGCTAGGATATGTTGTGGCTTGGTATAGGGCGGATATTCAGATATTTTAGCAATTTACTTCTTTTGGGTACTATGCACGATCGGGACGGAATCGTTTTGAGCGTTTCTCGAGTACTTGAGCTCACTCGCGAGACGTTAAGACTCTGCATAATAACCCTCTGCCATGCATGACGGATGAAGTGCAATTCGAATAACAGCTAACCATGCCCAAACTTGTGTTGATCAATCCCTTGTTTACCCCTCTAAGCTTAGTGTTGCAGCAGTGCTCGCCATTCTCTTGCACGAGACCCAGTTTCTTCACCTCAGCGTAGCTTCGATAAATCGGCAAGTTTAACATTCAGACAATTAGGGTCTGGTTCGAGACAACACTCCGCAGGAAGTCAGAACGCAGTCCGTTTCCCTCCCTCCCTCCCCCCCACAGCGCTGGCCTCGCTAGATGTGACATCACATACAAGTGCGAACTCATGAATTAAAGAAAAAAGAAAAAAGGTGCGAACTCATGACATGTGACGGTCGAGTGATATTCCATGATGCACCCCCCGCCTGACCCATACTATGCAGCTACCCTATTTGCTAACTGCCACCTATAGCTACCAAGTCTGTTACCACGTGCAGTCATAAGGCTGACACCCTTCCAACTGTGCGTATATATGCATGATCACCACTTGGTTTACTCTAATCCCTAAGCTTTCCTGGTTATCGGCTAATCTCACACCACTGTGCTAAATGTGGTAAGCGTGCATGAATCGGGTGATAATTCATGATGGGTAATCACCGAGTGATCAAGCATGAAGCGCTGTACACGCGCAATTAGAAGATTGAGAACAGGGAATCAGATCCGTTTGCGCCAATCAATATGGAGTTATGGTCACCACTCAAATGTAATAACAAGTCCGTGAGGGCGATCAATCTGGGAAATCTGTGCTTAATGCATATATAGGGAGGTATTTTACATCAGCGGATCCGGAGGTAAGGTATTAACGTCATGCAGCCAATATATATTTATATGCAAACGTGGTGAGAAAAACTCTCCCCGTAAGCATATGAGGCAAAAGAAAATTGTTTAGGGAGAATCAACACAACCATGTAAGTATAAAACAAAGACAGACGCAACAAGAGGAAAGAAAAGAAAAGAACATCAAAACAAGCCAAGTATATATCATGGTGTAGATATACAATACACAGATGCAAAAGTATATGTATATCTTGCCCCAGAGCAAACGATGTCCCTCATAAATTGAGATAGAGTGAAACAATGAACATGACAAAAGGTAGAATAAAATATAAAAAATGAGGCACCGGCAGCACCATCTGCGTATTAGAAATGGCTGGTGATGATTCTCCTACTTCTCCCTCCGCAATGGCAGTGGCAGAAGTATCTGTTCTATGGGGATTCCCTGTAAGGCTTTGCCAAGTTTTGGGTTCACCCACATCAGAGGAATAATCCGGCGTTATTTGGGCACTATCTCTGGCGTCTTTGGTGTTTTGGAATTTTCCATCGTCCGTTTCGAGGGCTGTTTGGGCGCCCTTGACTCCAACGTCGCTTTCGCAAGCTCCCGCATCAGTGGCTTCCAGGTGTTGGTCGATCGGGCGAGTTCCTTCGTCGGTAGGCGTAAGGCTGGTTTCACCGCTATTTACGGAAATAGTAGCACAGACTGTGGTGACTGTCATACAGTCCTCAGGAGGCCCAGAATCTGAAGTGATACAATGGTTAGATTTCATGTCGGCAAGATAAATAGGCTATAGGGCAATTGGGAGCGGCGCGCGGAGAGGGGGAGAGGGGAAGGCAAACTAGGGAGAGAAAGGGAGAATTAAACAAGTTACCCTCAACCTCAAGCTCACGTGTATATAAAGGTTAAGAACCTACCATGACCGGCGGGGGAAATTGAAGCAGTTTCGATCATTCCCATGATTTGCAATTGATCCGCCCTTATTGCCCCATGATCGATTAAAACTTTCTGCATTGTGCTTAGGTAGAGAGATCTAATGTCATTAGGTGCAGATGACATGAGGTACATGTAGTCCAGCGGTGTCCTCCCTTGGATGTCCACAGCATTCATATTCACATTGTTCCTTTTATGCAAGAACAACAACTTGAGGGCCTTCATGGGTACATGTAATAATAATTTCCTAGGCGCCATAAATCTCCAATCTCTGGCTAAAAAACCGTCCAACTGAGCAATAAAACCACTACAGAGTTTATGTATGACCGACCGACCCCAATTGTCGCGTGCGTTCAGATCAACGTCTTCTCTAAGTAGCAACTCTAACGGTTCTAACCACTGCCTCAACATCCGGGAACACACTATGTGCAGCGGCCTTTCTCCCCCTTTGTTTTTACAATTAACGTCAAATCCCCTTTTGAGTAATAAATCACTTATGCGATTACGGCATTGTCTTATTGTATAGTGTAGCGCTGTGTCCCCCTCATCGTTAAGAGGTCCAAACAGGTTCAGGCCTTCGTTCTCGAGTAACGCCTCAAGAGCAGAGTCACTGCCCCCACGACATGCCGTCGACAGCGGCATCCAGGGGTATCCATCAGCAGCCCAATTCACATCAAGATCCTTTCTTCTTTGAAGCAACGTGCGAACGGTTGCCGCATCTCCAAAGCCGGCTGCATACGCAAGCACCCTCTGAGGTGTTTTTCCATCCGGGAATAGGGATATACTGAGGTCGGGAAGGCTGAGCATGGCGGCCATCTCCGCCGGTGATAACGTCACGCCATCCACTATATCTTTAAGGGCATTCGGTACGTCCCATTGTCTCTTTTGCTTATCTTCCCATTTTTTAAACCAGGGTCCCAGGAAAAGGCTCTTCTGAAGGCGCAATCCCTGGGATCTGCTATCACCGGTCAACCGGTTGAAATGCACGGCCCAATTCGATCTGGCATATTCATGAAACGAACTATCGCCGAACTTCTCAAAGTTGGCACGCATGAACACGTAGGAAAGGCAAACTTCGTGAAGGATATCATCACCATTTCTGGGGCCGAAGATGTACGGAGTGTCGTGATTTCTTCCAGAAGGATTGCTGCGGTATAATGCCTCCGATCGCATCCGCTCTAGAAGATACTCTTTGACGGAGAAATGCACAAAGTGAACAGGGTCAGAACCCGATCCTCCGCGGACTTCGATTAGGGAACAGCAAGGTTTCACTATTAAAGTTTGGATATTCAAATTGTTTATCTCGTAGTCTTGAATAAAGCCCGGTCGCTCTTTTGAGCCCTGGTCTACTACGTCCTTCATGCGCAGAGCACACAATAACTCCATGACGGAAAGCGGCCGGGTTGCGAAAAGCAGGATTTGCAGGATATCAAGCGCCCTTTGACAATTCTTGGTGGTCGTCTTAAGAATTGCTTCGATATTTCGTTGATATGCTCGCTCTAGGCCATCTGGCACAGAGTTAAGTACATCCTGGACGTCTTTATCCAGCATCCCCGGCTCGAGCTGCTCGTCGACAAGCCTTAACCGAAGGAACATCCCATCACAGCCTTCCTTGAGTTGATCAGATACCGCTTTTCTTCGGGAATCATCTTTGATCTTTAACGACTCGGCAATGTAGTTCGAAACCAATGCAATGTCCAGTAGAGTGTCTTCTTTTTTTATGGGGTACTCGATTACCCGGTGCACCTTTGATTTGTCGATAGGTTCATAAAGACCTAGACCAGATCTGATAGTGTCCAAGTTCCTGCTCACAATCAAGATCTTGGCTTCTGTGGACTGTTGATGTACGAAGTTCTTTCATGAAGCTTTGCAGAGCTCCTTTGACGGAGCACCGTGAATCAGGGTCGAAGTCCCAACACTCATCGTATCCGTCTATAACCAAGTAACAAGGTCCTAGTTTTTGAAGAATGGCACGGAATATTTTCCATAATACAGTAGGAACCGCGGATCCGTTCTCGGGTTTTGCCTCCTGAGCGATCTGCAAGGCAGTCTTTGATTGTTGCATTAACTGATAGACCCATGATCGGAGGATGGAAGTAGTCTGTCTCTTCTCTTCATAGGAGTGGTTGGACATGAAGAACGCGGTAGGGTATGAGGGGGAGTATTCCTGGAGATATTTGATAATGCTTGAGGCGAGATGTGTTTTGCCAATTCCAGGACCGCCATGAAGCCAAAGAACAGGAGAAGATATACCGATGGCTACATCAGGTGGTCCGAACCAGTCCAAGAAAGTCTGCCTGGAGCGAATCCAGGTGCATGTGCCTGTACGTGTACCGCATGATGCGTCATCGAGCTCATAATCCGTTGAAACAGCGCCGACCCAATTCAAAAGCTTGTCACGATCTTCTTCTACAAGTCTCGGCCCTGTTAGCTACTATTCCACGTATATATCCCCGAGTTGAGAAAATACTTACTGTCGATATGTGTTGTGACCTTATCTTGAAACTTGCCAGTCTCTTTTCTATCCTTCTCGCTCTGAGATATGTTCCCTACCATCGTTTAGTTCAAGGTCATCTAACTTGATATTTAGGAATAATGTTGTAGTTGATGCATACCTTTGAGAATCGATTCAAGTTTCTTCAAGCTGACCTCCATCTCCATAATTTTGACCTCAGAATCAGTACTATTATTGGGAACCAGGTTATCCAGCTTCTGAACAAGCGTTCCAACGTCCGTGAGGAGGCTCATAAAATGCTTCTTATCTTTTATCGCCCAGATAAGTTTTCTCCCGATAGAAGTTTTTCCCCTGCAAACAGCGGCACCAGCATTAGTCGCACCCGGCTCCTCCACATTATACGTGTTGAAAAACTTCTCCGCCCCTTTCCATGCATTCTCAAGCTGTTTGAGAATACTGTAAATCAGAGGATATTCGACCGCATTCTTCTCCAGGCAAGGATGACGTTTCGATTCATCACTAATTCCTACTCTGTCGCCCCATCGGGTGAAGATGAGCTTCTCGGCTTCAAACAGTATACGAAGCTTTTCCGAGTCGTCGTTAAAGTTCCGTGCATCATCGACCTGCTCGATGATCTGGAGACACACACTATACAACCCCACCACACCTACAACAGTTCCGCAAATCTCCATGGCTACGCGTGCGCGATGTATGGAGATGAGTCTGAATGACAAAGTGGTAATCTATACCAGATCAGCGGTCTACGGCGGACTTTATTCACGAGAGAGGCTGTACGGAAAAGAAAAGGTAGAGAAGACAGTTTAGAATAAAGAAGTCTCTTCTTTAGCTGGGGAGGCCCTAGCCAGTGCACGGTTTGCTAGAATCGCGAGTTCGTCTCCAGGTAACGCTTTTTTCGTAGTGTTTATGGCCGAAGAGGTAGGAGACAACGTGAGTGTGATGTTGATTGAAGGCTCTGGTGTTAAAGTGGGAGGTATCGGTGCATGCGAAGCATCCCAATATGATTGGACAACGTGTTCGTTTGATTGCCGTGCTCAGGTAGAAGTTCGAGGGCATGTCGTCACAATGCAAAACATATCGCATACTTTTAAGATTCCAGAACCCTTTGGGCTCCTTCTCGAGATGGTTTCAAATGTTCGTGTAAGAGGTGGATTCTTTTGTCGAACTGTTGAGTGGTTGCTTGGGTAGTAAAATATTAGTACTAGTGGAATTCATCACCACTGTATGTAGCTATCCCTTCGTCTGTCAATGCTGCCACCCTATAATAGAGGAATTAAATTTGTATGGGAGATCTGTTATTTGATAAGAGAGATAACGAGATCTGTTAGGAAAGCCACACCAGATTTGCTTTTTCTTGGGGTGGCAGCATTTAACTGACAGACGAAGGGATAGTAGGGTAGTGGCGCAGGAATATACCTAGTATGTATACATAGAGTAAATCCATGCATCCTCTCAAGCAACCGACAACCCCTTCTCAACTCCGCCAAGACTTGACGAAGTGCGGGGATCCTCTTTAATAAAGACCTCTCTTTGGCTTCTTTTGCCAAGACTGGTCGCTTCGATCCTTTTCCTCCCATGACTCGGGTCATATGAAAACAAGAGACATTTCGCATGATGGCTTGGTTAGCCTTTATCAACCTCAACCACCGGGCCTTCTCTTCACTGACGAAACCCACCCTCACTGGGGGTCCTTTCATACAGGGCCCTTAACCCAACCCTCTACCCACTGTGGTTCCCCACGGGGGCCTCACCTATTCAATCCAGTCGCCACCTCAACCCCCTCTGTTAGGCGCGAGGATTCGGGTCTTTTCCTGGAGCGGTGCAATGTTAGCTTTTCTTTTGTTTTGTTTTTATGTTGATTGTCGTTATTTTCTTTTTTCATTTTTTCTTAGGCGGGGGTTTCCTTAGTCATCAACCTTGTAAGAGGAGTGCGGTTGGTAGCATACCATAGTTACTATAACTGGGGGAACTGGCATTGGGGATAGGTCTTTATGCCATAGTTTATACTGCATGCGATGGTTGTACCTAGAAACAATTCAAATGACTTCACACACACACATAGAGTAAATCCATGTGGCGGTAAAACATATTCTATTGGTTGTCATTCATCTCGACGATCTATGAGACGCCCAATCAGAAAGACAAACCTCCAAGGCTTTAAAGCCACACGAGATATGAGGATTCATTGACAAAGATGCTCCATTTTCAACCCTAGCTTAATAGGCGCCGTGGTTTCGAGGCTTTTGATCGTAGAAAACGCCAAGAGTTCATGAAGTGAAACCATCCCTGCCCTTATATCAAGGTCCTGGCGGGCGAGCTAGCTGAAAGTCAGCCTTCCCATTAGCTCATGCTCAGGAGTAACTGTATGTCCCAAAACCTTTCCGCTCGAAAAATCGAAATGCTATCTTTAAAACTGGCCATGGCCGGGGGCACCATATAAACCAATCAGGTCGTGGAGATTAGCATAGGAGGGCGCGGAATTGGATTGTTTTGATCAACATAACTGTTTGAAAGAACCGTGTGAAGGAATCTTGTTCCAAATAGAGACTTTTATTGACGTATCGCTGATCATGAATGGTGATTTAGATTGATGACCTGAACCGACAGGAAAAGTAGGAGAATTCAAGGGTCCGGAAAGTGGAAGGAAATACCCAGATTCCCGATTGACAGCCGGTAGATAGTGTTCCTCGATCGCGGTCGATTAAAAAGAGGGGATGTAGGCATCAGTGGTGCTGAACCGATCATGAGAAATCACTCGCCACTATGGCACTATAATGGGTGTTGATATATCTAGGTGGGCGGCCGGTTGCGAGACCTGTAGCTAGAGGCCTCTAGCTACGGGTTGATGGCGTACTGCTCCCCGCAAGCAACGAAGCATGATATATATATAGCCACACCGTCAAATAATAAGGCCGAGGAGTGAAGGTGAGCTTAAATACTTTATAGCAATGGGATCGATGATGCCGAGGCCCAGGGTTCCGACATCCATTTGGTACGAATTATCACCACCACCAACATGCTTGCAAGCTCACTACAATGCCCCCCGTCTTCTAGGCGTGGGTTCCATCACTATCCGAGGAGTAGAATGGTTCGCTCAACAGAAATGTGGTCGCGATATATTCGTCTACACACGTGAACCTAAACACCGTCACAGCAGCAGTATTTAAAGTTTCAATCAACGTTTTGACTTCTTCAGACATGCAGTCACTAGAATCCAGTGCCGATCAGAGGAAAACAGGCGCAGGTTTAGAGTACTACAGTCGCCCGCTGTTGTAACGAACGCTCCCATACCGAATATTTGCTGTATCGAACCACTTGGGCTGGCTTTTTTCCCACCCCCAGCAAAGAGTTTGGTCTGCTGTACCGAACAATCTGCTATACCGAGCGGAAAGGTGCTCAATATGCACGTTCGTTATAGCGGCGGGCAACTGTACATGTACAAGTATTTAGAGTAGAGTACAGCGCCGTTGATCACTCGCGGAATCAACCATGCAGGGAAACTCTTGCCTCTCCTGGACACCCACGTGACTGCATGATTATTGCATGTGGCACAGGCATATAAGGTGCTCACCTTTCACAGCGGTCGGAAGACATGAACCGAGCGATATAGTAGGTACTGTCGTTCACGGGGTATTGGCGGATGCTGGGTGATGGCGGACTGGGCAAAAAAGAGACAGCCAAGCCAACTTTTACCTGCAATTCGCCAATACCCAGTATCCGCCAATACCCCGTGAACGACAGTAGATCTAAGTATATCTGAGGGGAATGTATAACTGGGGAAGGTCCGTTTGCTGGCTGGTGCGGACATTGAATTCTGCCCGACGACGGCTAGCTACGGGGGTTATCGCGCGACGTGGGCGGGCTGAAGGGGAAACTGAAAAGGCGGAATAAATATATATGTACAGCCACTCAGCAAAAGTGTTTGTGATTTAGTTTTAATGTCAGTGCGCAGTGTGGCGCACCCATGACGTTGATGTTATTAATGTAGAGATTTAAAACAACGAAAAATATATAATATAGTTCGTGACTATATGCATATAAAAGAAGATAGGTCATTGATCTTATTCTTCATTGATTCCGGGCTCCATTGGTCACTGGGAAGGTTTTCTCTTGGGGGGTTTTTAATGGCCCGCCAGAGTTACATATATAGAGAAATGTCTCACTCCGAAATCGGAATCGCGAATACTTTTGTAGAGTGGCTGTACCTACACTCACTGCGGGTCTGTCGGTGTGGAGATGAAGGACGAGGCTGATCGGGATGGGGAGAGAGTGTGCCTTGCTTGAGTGGTTTTGAGCCTGCACGGGGGACACTAGCACTGTGACACAGAACATTGTGTAACTACATGTACCTACGTTTACGGCCAATAAGAATCAGGATATCTTAGTCAAACTCGCAGTTTGACTGGTTGCTGGCTGGTTGCTACATACAAATTCGCCAAATGGGTGTATTCGCCAAATGCCTGTGAATCGCTGTAGTACTTGTGTGTGTGTTTTTCCAGTTATCGGTCTGACAGGACACGCAATTCAATTAGCCTACATACAATTGAAGATCTCTATATACACGTCTTCTCTCCCGCTGGGGTGTCGCGGCGGAGGAAGACTCAAAGAACCCCCCCCACCTCCCCGCTTGAGTCCCTACCCATGTTAATCTTTGCTCTACCACGTCACTCGCAAACAAGTATTTTCCTGACGTTTGTGGACGCGACTGATATTGCATGCCATACAAAAATACGCCAAGCTCATGATTTTGGGTGTATGCAATAATGGCCCAGTTCAAAAACGTCAGGAAGATACTACAGTCGCAACTCGATATGCCGGAACTCAATACACCGGATCCCTTGCTGTCCCGTACGAGGTCCTCTGAGAATATTATTTTTCCTACTGCAAAATCAATTTGCTATCCCAGATTTTTTGCTATCCCGTACGAAATCCTTAGAATCTTGGCAATCCGGCATATCAAGTTACGACTGTAGTAGAGGAGAGTGCAGCCGCTACTCGAGCATCCCCGCCTCTCCTGTATTTTCCTATTTAGCGCTAGTGTGTGTGCAACGTGCACAGCGGTTGCACAGGCTGTACCTGGTCCCACAACAGGGCCCAGCCTGTCAGGATGCATGAACCTCGAGGGGAGGGAGAGTGAAGGGCACATCCCGGGTATAACAGAATCGGGTCTTTCTCTACCATACGAGCCTGCGGTTCCATAGAGTTTCGCGATATTTGATCAATTGAGGGTGTGTGTACAGACAGTTGATGTACATATATTCTGGGCTTTCTGCACAGCGAAGACTCCGAGTAGTGCAGGTCCAAAAGGAGAGTGAATATAGAGTACACCCCGCGGCTGTCTTCTGATATTCACTGCGTGACATTGCCAGTGTCGTGAACCCAGCCGCAGCGGCACATATATACGCCCGTTATTATCGAATTGAGCGATCTTGGACACACATGTATGCGCATGTTACACACACTGAGAATAATTTATGGGCCTGTGTTCGAATTGGGGTATAAGAGTACCGTGTCCCCCCCCCCCCCCCCAATCCCCTCCCCTCTATCCCCTTCCATTCACATTCACATTCACCACCTCTCAACCGTCGTGTACTGTTTCTCTATCTTCCCATCAAATCCCACCCCTCAATCTCCAATGATGGTCAGACTACCCGCTGCTGCTGCCTTTTTGGCCCTTTCGGTCCATGTGCTTCCCGCCATCGGATTTGCCTTTCCCTCGCCGCAGACATCGGCAAATATGTGTACCAGCGAGTGCAGCGGTCTCCTCGACACCGTCACCGAATGTAACATATCGACCACCGCAACTACCTATACAGCGACCCAAGAGAGGTGCATGTGCAATAGCTCCTCTTTTAAAAGCACCATCGATCAGTACTGCTCCCCTCTCACATAGTCTCTTTCTTGGGCCATATTTCTTCTCCCCTCCTCTTCTACCATGAATGCTAACATCCGCCTCGCATAGATGCTTCGCCTGCATGGGGGAAGTCCTCACTTACCAAGACATGTGCTCCGCATATCTCAGCAGCTCGACCTCCTCCGCCTCCAGGTCCGCAACTAAATCTGCCTCTGCTTCTTCTGCTTCCGCTTCTGCAACCCGCACAACCTCCGCGTCGTCATCACGCGCCACCCAGTCCGCCTCTGCCACATGCGGCCTGTCTGATGCCTGCGTGGCCTTTGTTGATACACTCAGCGGTTGCAACATCAACGTGGCTGATATCCAGAATTCTATGACTGACGCCCAAATGGGATGTCTTTGCAAAGACCCGGCCACCTTCGAAGCCAACACCGCAAAGTAAGCCCTGCTCCGCTCTATGTACCGGTATGATGATACTAATGTTTTTCCAAAGCTGTATAGCATGTACTGGTGAGACTGTCAGCGGCATAGACAAGATGTGCGATTCCTATGCCTCCAGCTCTGGTCTCGCATCTGGCACCGCTTCAAGAAGCACCACGAGGGCCACAAGCACTGCGAGGACCACCAACACTGGTAGCTCCGGTGCTACTACCACCGCCGCTATTGCTGCCAACCCGACCACCACCTCTACAGGCTCTACATCCACCTCCACGTCAACCTCCGGATCCACCGGTGGTACCGGAAATGCTCTATCTCAGAACGGTGGCTCTAGGGCCGTGGCTCTTGGAGTGCCCGGGCTTGCGGTGCCGGTGCTCATGATGGCGGCGGCGGCCTGGAGAGTGGTGTTTTAGATTAGCAGCTTAGCAAGGACGTTATCGGGGATATTTACCCCTCTGCGATAGATGTATTTCATGTGTAATGTTTGCTTTTTGTAATGTAGTATTGCGGCGAACGCTCTCGTAAAGAAACTATTAATGCAAGATACAATAATACAAAGTAATGTCTGGGCTCTGGATTAAGCGTTGTAACCATTCTACAGTTTAGTTCGCAGCTTGGCAGCCGTCTTGGCTACCGCCGCCTACAGAATTAACCGTGGGCCAGAGAGAGACCAGTGTAAGATCCTTATTTAGCCCAGCCCGCACACTCCCCGATTCCCCTTTCCCTTTCCCATATGGCCAACCAATCGTTCGTCTCGCCATGCCCACGGGCCCCATTCGCGTCGATCACAGTGACATGCGATGCATGCATGATCTGCTAGACACACAAACAAGCCTCCGGCAAACCCTGCAACGGCCCGGCTGCATGCAGTAGGAACTGGCGAGCGAGGTGCGTTGGGCTGAAGATGGAGTTCTGTCAACTTCCGTGCATGCGGCTGAAGAGAGAATGGCTTTCCAAGTTGGAGTGCGGTACCGTTAATTCTCGAGCAATCCACTATATCCGTAGAGGCAGATGGTAAATCCGGACCAAAGAGAGAAAGGCTCGGCGCATATGCAGATAGGTGTAGGACAAGGTATGCGTTGGAGAGTGATGAGCCCGCGGCCATGATACATAGGTAGATCTGTCCGTAGTTATTGTAGTTAGGAACAATCATGGCGAGACTTACTCAACTTTCAGCAAGTGAACAGAATGCCGTTAAACATCATCATGTCCGAGTCCGCCCAGGACCAAAACCTAAGTCAATCAAGGACCGGGTCCTCCAGTCAAATGGAATCCAACCAATCCGGAAACAAGAGCGTTCATGGAGCCAGAAGCAGAAGATACGGGCTTTGGTGTTCCTCTATCATCATCGCATACCTCTAGCTACTAGTGGTAAATTGCGTTCACCAACACAGGCAGAGGCATCACTTCTGTTCAGTGTTCCTCAACGTACGTTGAGTGACTGGGTGAGAAAGCAATACCAGATAGAATTGGTAGCTAAGGGTAGTTCAGCACACACTGTACACTTACAACATACGATCTGTAAATGGCCTGAGCTAGAACGACAATTGTACTGTTTGTTTTTGGAGTGCAGAGAAAAAGGTCAAGCTGTTCGTCGTGGTTGGTTTAGATTGCATTCAGATGAGATTTTTCGAGAGCTGTTCCCTTCCGTTGGTACTCAGCTATCACTTTTCCGCTTTTCCAATGGCTGGTTTGCTCGCTTTTTGGGACGGTACCGTATCAGTCTTCGGTGTATTACCAAAACTGCTCAGAAAATTCCCGAGGATTACCGTAACTTGATTATCAGCTGGCTACAATTTAATCGCCGCAATTCTCAATTTGATCCTTATGAGTTTTACTCACACCGCGTACCTGTTGGTGGAGGTTTTATTCGACGCCAAAACTGAGACGATCTCGCGAACATCTGCAATCTTGATGAAACACCAATCCCTTTCGAGTACTTATCCGGTAGAACTTATAATCTAATCGGAGACAAAACTATATGGATTAAAGAAACAAGAAGCGGCTGGGATAAGAGACAGGCAAGTCTCGTACTGTGTATCTTTGCGGATTGGGTCAATAGGATACCGCCTATGATTATATTCCATGGACAAGGCAAAAGATTGGGCAAAGAACAAGCCAAATACCACCCCGGTGTTCTTGTTGAGTTCAACGATACTGCATACATGACGGAGGTTCTGTTCATCAAATATATTGAAATGTATTTGATTCCAGCATTGAATGGCAAACCTTCACTATTTGCTATGGACCTCTGCACATCCCATAAGACTCCTGCCGTCCTCAAAATCCTGCGATCAAAACAAATTACACCAAGCCTGATTCCCGCTGGATGCACTAGCTTAGTGCAGCCTCTTGATGTCTCAATTAACAAACCTCTTAAAGAATATATACGTACATTGACGGAGGAAGCAATCAGGGACTGTGAGGGTGTGGAGAGGGTTGAAAAATGGACTGTTAGTGATAGGCGAATACTTACTACATGGAGTGTTGGGGACGCTTGGTATCTTTTTGCAGTTGAAAAGGATGAATTGATTAGAAGGGTCTTCCGTAAAGTGGGTCTTTCTCTCGCTGCAGATTGCAGCCAGGACGAAGAGTTGGATATTAAGGGGTTCAAAAGTATAGAAATTGGCGACTGGAAACTATCTGGATCACTACCCGCAACTCTAACAACTTTCGAAAACTTATACCAACCCGTTCCTCTTGATTTTGCAGATGTAGATATAGAACATGATGAGAACGAGTCTGTAGAATTTATAGCCTATGGAGAATAATTATATATGTACATGCATGCACCTATCTGCATATGCGCCGAGCCTTTCTCTCTTTGGTCCGGATTTACCATCTGCCTCTACGGATATAGTGGATTGCTCGAGAATTAACGGTATTGGGGGGGGGGGGGGTGTGTGTGGTTGGAAAGATAGGAGGTTGAACATAGAGTTGACTCAGTGGAGTGTCACTCGGTTTGTCACTTCTATCGGGTGCACGCTAAGTGCAAGTGCAAGTGCCGATAGAAGTGCAGATGCAACCGCACGTGCAAGTGCGGGCGGAGGGCTAAGTGCAAACCCCAGAGATGCGCTGCGGAAAGAAGATGAGCGACTTGCCGGTATGGCTATTGGCGTTGGTGGGGTTAGTACTAGTCATGGAATATCACTCGTCTATGTATCCCACTGAGTTTTGAATGGCGATGGGGCCTGATGGGCGGGGGTGGTGGTTGCGAGTTTCGTGGGCTTTTATCGTGCCCAGGGTTAACTGTGCTACCGTCTTTAGCACTGTCAGTATCCGTTCCTTATCATTAGTGCAATCATGAATAATCACTCGCTGGCTTAGTGCGTCATTGATGATGATTCGGAATTGAATCATGAGCTAGCACTTGGTACACAGATCATGTAATGTCACTTTGATCACTTTGCATCACATATCACCTGAGAAATCAATCGTTCTCCATCACTTGCTGGAACTGCCATTAACTTGGTTTTGTGTATCTTTGTGGGCTGGTATAGCAATCATGGCCTATCATCCGGTAAACTTGCTGTATGGCCTTTCACGCCGTGTGAAGGCTATTCACTCTCACTGTGGGTCCGACTTCAATCCTAGGCCTGTTGTTGCTATATCCCGTAGAGTACTCATCCTGCGAAAGAAATATGCATTGATAATCATAGGCGCGATATATGACATTTTGCGGCAGAGACCAGATGTGAGGTCAAAATGTGAGACTAGAAGAGCCTTCTTTGGTTCTCAAGGCTTATCGCTAGACTACATTTTGAATTGAACATGGAACTGGAAAAGAACTTTGAATTACTAGGACCACACAAGAAGTGCGCTTGTACTGCTAGCTTTGCCTTATAAGGTGAATTCGAGCTGGCTAATGGATAGACCTACTGCCACAACTGATATACAGACTCTATCAATTTGATCACAGTCTATCACTCATCAATCGACGCAGGCGTAGTCAGCCCTTTACCCATCCCGCGCAATAAATTGAACCCACGGGTAATATCACTCGATAGCACAGGTCCCTCGCGGTGATAAAGAGAGCGTTTAGACGTTTTGCGCACCACAGCCCGTCACTCGCACGAGAAGAGGATTACAAACAGGCTCAAACCTCGATCACACAACCTGAAGTGCTCCCAGTTTGCTTTAAGCGCGCCTTATGTTGCCATAGGCCGCTCACACATACTCGACGGGAGATTCTACTAGTGGTGCACAGAGTTCCCTTTCTTATCATCGTCTGGTTTGACTTTGAGTGCATGTAAACCGATGCAGATGAGGGGATGTAAGGTATTTGGGGAAGATATGAACGTACGGGAAATATATATATAGCTATACCGGTCGCGAAGAAATTAAAAGCAAGGTGTGTGTTAAGGAAACGTACTCCTTTCTCCGATTTCCTGCCCTTGACTTTCATCCTATCTTGTCCAAAGCCTCACAGCTTGGTCTGACGCTAGGTTAAGACAGCCTAAATGGTAGATGACGAGTGGTTCTTGTTCTCAATGGACCAAAAAACCGATCGAGCTTTCTTGATTTATGGACTGGTATAGCTATATGATATAAATCATCGCCCAGAAATTATTGATATTATGAGCTACTGAGCGAATGATGGGATACCGAACTCTGTGTTTCAGCTCTACAATTTGCTCTTCCTCTTTCTTAAGAAATACTTCTTTCCCGCCGGTGGAGACACATCTTCCAGGCCATTAGAAAGGATCAAATTATACAGGTCCATACACCATGTCGGTGATGATTAGTGCGGTACTGTAACTAACGCAGTAACTTTCAGGATAATGATTTCCGCTAGAGGTTTCCAGGTCAAGATATCATTTCCAGCGTTCTCTTTGAATAAATGTAGTTCTTATGTGCCTGGAATGCCTCGCGCAACTCGCGCTTGAGCACCAGAGTGACTTTCTCAAGCGGGAAAATGCATAGCTGCTAAGGCTCATACACTCAAAGTCCTCGGGTAAGTCCTTTTAGAAAACCACGATAACCGATTGCCATACAAGCACAGCTCGACAATAAGAAAGTAGACATTCTTGTACATGTGATGTACTTACCGATTACAGGTATACCTACTGCATACTTACCCCTCATTATTTCAAACCTCCGTCCTGTTAGGCATAATGTGGTGAATCAACCTACCTCTCTGAGAAATTCATTTTGCTTTGCTTGGTTCTTAGGGGCGGAGGTCGCGCAGATGATGAATGGCTTTGGGCCTTGAAGGTAGTGGATCCACCTTGATTCCACCTTGGGGGGATCATATAGGTACTCAATGGACGTTGCAGTTTATCGCCGAGTTTGTGCCGTTTTACGTGAACAGCCTATATATACAAGAACGCGACTGATAATATATTGTGCATGTGCGGGGCATCCAATCCATACTACAAATGTAGACTCTTGGCAGGACCCGGATCAACAGGGCGGATACCAAATTCATTTACTGTCTTTGATCTTCTCGGACTTTATCAATCCTCAAGATAAAACCCCGATATACGAAATATCGGAGATAACTGACGCCAGCAGTAGAGTGTTAACTAATTGTGTAGAGCCCTAACCCTACAGGTCCATACTTGGCAAAGGCCTATCAGGACCGATATTCCCCTAATAACAGCACCACGCCCGAACCAACAGAGTTTAACTACATACTTGTGAAGAAGGACTAACAACATGTTTTCTTTGGGAGGAACCGTCATAAATCGTGAAAATCATTAACTAATAATAGTGTCCATCCAGTCGCTCGCTAAGTACGCATAGCACAAATTACATGATCCATCAGTCCTCAAATTTAGAGGCCTATTTGCGCCAGCACTGCGAGGGCTGCTAGCACGATACTTGGAACGTTACCGCCCATTGCATCGTTTCCATTATCCACCGCGCTGGCCACTGCAACATGAGTCGTGGTACTCGCTGTTGTTGGCACCCTTGTTGTGCTGGTAGATGAACGCGTTGTGGTGGTCCTTGTTGTGGAGTTCGAAGAGCTGATCGAGTCCGTCATGGTAGTAGAGGTAGAGTTGTCACCCATGGCCGTCGCGGTGGTTTGGTAACCACTGCAAATTGCAGCATATGAATCCGCGTACCCGGTTAACTCTGGAGTCGCGCGGATACACGTGATACATCTATTTCGCCCTAGGTTAGCGGACCAAAAGCTTGATACTTTGACTTGTGGAGCGTGGACTGACTCGTTCAGTGGTGTGTCAATACCGTCGATGGAACAGACACAGGCAGTTTGAGCAGTCGTAGCGGTGGTGGAGCCCAGGAAGTCAAAGTCGCAGACACTAAGACCCTGTGTGCGGAGTGCTGCACAACAGTCCGGATAGGTTTCGCTCTGGGCGCTCACCAGAATAGCCAGGAAGGGAAAGACGATCGTGAGCTGGATCAAGAGCATTTTTGTCGCGTTGATCATGAGTGGCTGTCGAAAAGAAGTAAAGAGAAAAGTGCAGTAATTATGGGGAGAGACATCGGTAGAGGTAGGTGCGACAGTTGTGCTTCTGGGGGGAAGCGGGAGGTGTACGTATGTGTCGAATGCGGCTGAAGAGAAACTTTGCCAATGGGAATAGCTCACGATAATGGGAGAGGCGCAGTATGCCAAGAGTCGGACTAGTTATTCTCAGCGGGTAAGCCCTGAAGGAAAAGGTGGGACAGGCCCGGACAGCAACCGGAGGCTCAGTAACGTTAACGCCGTTAGAATGCCCCGGCTCCAATCATGAGAATGTTTTGCCCTACTTCTACTGTTGTACATGCATGGCACTAGGCTTAAATTTCAGCAAGTCTATATAATTTTTACAAAAAGCAAAGTAGGCTTAAAAGTCATCCTATGAGGAAGTTCGAGGAAGGTCAGTTCGAGTCAATATAAGGCTAACAATTATGCTGGGTGGTTGTTAAGCGGCTAAGTCAGCAAACTTCCTTACTGAGGTAATCCTAATATAATATTATTACTCGGTGTTCATTATTATACCCTATCATATGGCCGGTGATTACCATAGAAGTCTACACTAGCAGTAAAAGGTATCAACAAATCAACATCTCGGAGCTATCCCACGCAAGGCCCATCACTTATCGCGACCACTCGCTCGCCGTTTTGGTTCGTAATGATCATCCGAAATTGCCACTAGCTAAGTGTCAAGATTGTACATAGGATATGGGGGCTAACTAGATCAGTATGGGATTGATGGCCATCAATCAAAAAATTGGGGCGTACTGTTTATGGGATTTGAATATCGCATCTCTGATCTGCAATTACTGACGTCGAATGGTATATCTTCACGTAGTTTGCTCGAGATCACATCTATCCTTCAATCAGTGATGAACTTGCTGTATGTATGTACCATACAAAAAGCTGCATATATGTACTATTTATTTAACTATTTATTTAACTCCCCCATGATGAGCTTCGATCATTCTCTCTGCAGTGGCTCCTACCAAGCACAGACATGTACAACCGTTTAATACTCTAGTAGCAAACTATGAGTGACTTTGTCGTTTAGTAGAGCCGTTTAGTATAAGTGACGAAGTCAATTAGAGTAAATGACAAAGGTCATTTGGTCTAAATGAATATAGGCTCAAATATTCGTAGATTGAGTTTACGCATGAATTTCATCAGCGTTTAATCAATTAAAGAGGATTATATGCCATGTTTTTTTATTCAATCGGCACTCTGTTACTGGGTAGATGCCGAAGGTATGATCGCCGGGGGGGGGTGCGACGTGCGAGCATGGACCGACAGAGCCGGAGTGAATACCACTAATAGTAAACAAAAATCCGACGGAATGTTTTATCAGCG